GATTGTATTTTTGGGTTTATTCCCAAATTAGATTCAAATTGGATTTTTTTAATTTTTATTGTTTAAGAGTGATTCTTGCTGATAACAATGCAGGGCATGTGCATTAATAGTTTAACTGACTACTTAGTTGGAGTATTTTTATTCTATTTTTTGTTCCATTGTTTTAATGTTTTTTCGACAAATATAAAGATACGCTATATTTATAAGTTTTATATGTACAATTATAGATTAATTTTCTATTTCGATAATATATTCTGCTATAAAACGATAGGTTTACAAAAGAAACTTCTTGCTTAATTTTAATTATGAAGGAACATTACAATAATTATATTTATTACAAAACAGTATTAACATTTATAGTTCGATAATGCGTTATAAGCAAAAGTGCAAAATTTATGGATTGAATTCCGATGAGATGGTTGATTTATTACTATATTATTAAGATTATTATTATTGTTTCATTATAATTGCGTATTATTATTATCACTATTATACTAGTGCAACTGTCGTTATTACTTCTATTACTGATATTACCAGTACCAAATAACGATTATTGTAATTATTTATTCGTGATAATTGAAGGATACTGGATCTTAAACATAAAACTTAGTGAAACTTTATAAATCTGTGCATAGATTGTGGTGGGAAGAAAAAGCGATAATTTATTTGTAAAACATAACGAATTCGATCTGATTGCGAGCGTATGTCAAGAGAACAAATGATCGATGCCACGTAGATGAAAAATAATCGGTAGTGCGAGATGCGACAGAGCATTTATTAGCATATCAGCGTGTTGAGCTTAGAGAGGCGCGCGGAACAATAAGACCACGCGTGATAATAATATTACAAATAGTACGTGTATGCGTTTAGAGAGTAAAAACGAGAGAAGCATTTTGAGTGAACGTGTGATGGCTCGCGAATGTTTCAGACAAGCGAGAAATGTTGTATCAAACGTTCCTTCGTCGGTTGCGATGCTATCGACGCTGTTGAATTACATATATCGATGATCGTTACAATAGTATGCGTGCAATTACATTAGCTTGATCTGTAATAAAAAAGAGAACGATATACTATCGTTACTAGAGACTACTTACGCTAATGCAAACTATTAATGTCGGGTCAACAATATGTCGTCTAATGCAATTTGCGCATAAAATTAGCACGGAAACGAGCCTAGAGAATAATTAAACGCAAGAATACACGAATATCACACGCGACAGCATGTAAAGTGAATTAACGGAGGAATTTGCATATAGAAAACATATTGTTGCATCAACGATTCATGTGCATCACTGCAGTGTCGGTAGCATCGAACGACCCATGGCGTCTACGCGGATAGTATCGCGCACGCAAATATGTGAAAACAAAGTGTACTTGCGTAATGAGGAGCGAAAGGAACGCTTTGTGCGAAAGGACCGAAGTCTCCGAAACTTCACTGAGGCTTTTATCGGCAGAATTTTTCGTCGCGCGAGCGACACGATAAGAGTCGTGACGAACGTCACGAAGCATGTATACTGCAAAGTTGCAACGCGTATTATTCGCGAATTCGATGAACGTCGAGAAATTCCGCCGACGCGTGTAAAAAAATAAATAGTTATTTATAAAAGTCACTCTAATATCGAGGGCGAGAGAGGAGGGGTGAGGGATGATAGCGCGAGGGGCGCGACGCAGGGGCGGGAATAGTGCGCGAACGGAAGATATGCCATTTTGAATTATTATTTTCATAAGGAACGTGTAATATAAAATATAATATATAATATATCAATATAGACGAATTAACAGCATCATCGAGACTTATGATCGCGACAGTGATGATGGTTAATATTATTATTATTGCTATTATTATGGTTATTGATTATGATTATTATGGAATGACGATGATTATTATATAACGGGGAGGAGAAGAAGCTAATGCAGTATATATATATTTATATATATAAATATATATATAAATAAATAAAAGTAATTACACTTAACACTTACGTTAGGAAGCTAGATACATACATTTGATGCAAGCGAGAAAATGAAGTAACCCATGCGTTCGACGATAAGTCTAAGTGACATGAATTAACGTCGTACATTTCTATATCAAGATAAATCACGGGGACGTATATAAAGGACTAGCATTTTTTAGCGAACGTCGTGGATACGCGCATCTCGTCAAAAATTACGCGATACGAAATGGTCAAGTATCTACGAGAAACGCTTAAATACTTGATCGAGTTACCTATGTAAATCTTTCCCTATATTTAAAGACACGTAAGTTGTTGTATTACTTCGTACTGTGTTAGATTTCGCGTTTCATTTTTCCCTCGCGGATATATTTTTCGTGACGATATCGAACCAAGGCAAATTTTCTCGAAGTAATATCATGTCGTGTCAAACTTGACCAGTATCGACGAAAGGACGAAAAAGAGACGTTTCCCGACGTTCGTGCATTTTCGCGCCACGGACGTGTTCCCGTATTCGAACGTAAATTTGATGATTTGTTCCTCCGTTCGTTTTTTGTCTTACATGAACGCCGAGCCGAAAGTTCTCTGTACGACGTACCTTATCCCACTTGAAGCTCGCATACAGATTACATAACTAGCTATTACGGACATGGCCATTAGCAGAGAAGTGTACCATTCAGATAGTTTATCATTAATGAAACGGTAATCATCATAGGTATATATTAACGACATTATTTATATTATTACGCATATTATATATAAATTATTGATAACAGATACTAATCCCCCCTAGGGTGAAATATTACAAGGGGGGAAGGGATGGGAAAGGGGGAGGGGGGAAAACTACGAAAGGGTCGTGCCCACGTGGGCGCGACGGCGGCGGTGCGTCATTTTTTTCGGAATGACGTCACCGACACGAGAGTGAAAAAAAAAGATAATGAATAAACCGCCAATTACTTTAACTTCGACAGTACTATTATTTGTATATGCCGAACGATTATGCCGTTTTCAGCGCAACATATTTTGGCAATTCTCTTTGGTGGTATGGTTCACATGGTAGCGATCGCGTTACGGTGAGAGAGAGACAGAGCGAGAGCGAGAGAGAGAAAGAGAGAGAGAGCGAAAGAGAGAGAGAAAGCGAGAAAGAGAGCGAAAGACGATGGAGAAACCGGAGAGAGGGAGAGAAAGAGGAATAAAAGAATAAAACAAACGAACAAAATAAAAATCAGAAGTTTCTATACTTTTTACGGAGATTGTTATAGTCTAAGCGCACACTGATCAAGGCATTCGTCGCTCGGCAAAAAAAGCATAATACAATTATTAATATAAAATTTATAACAGAAATAAAATAAATGAAGTTAATAAATATGTACACTGTATAATAAACATTATTTCCTATTAATAATTCATGTCTCTTTATTCAATCAACTGTCACATATATCACAAATGAATATTAATATGTAATTTTATTATATAATTTTATTTTATATACATTGCATGTAAAATATATAAATTTCTTCTATATATACATATATATATATATATATATATATATATATATATATATAATATTAAACTCTTGAAGGTCGCCAGTAAATAAAATACAAGAAGTTATTAAAAACGATCACACTGGCAAATTTTATAGTGAATCACGACGTTTCGATCATGGTTTTGGTCCTTTTCGAGTGAACTACAAAAAATTATTTCCAGTATTACACAAAAAATAAATTACATTGATTTTGAAATAAAAAATGAGCGGCAAGTTAAATACATACAATAATTTAGTTAACTATTCTATCGTGAGAAATAAGGAAATCACTTCGTCAAGATTGTCATGTCAACCATCTCCATCAACACACAGAGAAAGACTAGACAACCTTTATTAGTCTATCATAAATATTGTTTAAATTTTCAGTGTTCTTTTGTAAGTTGATCGTGTTGTCAAACATTTTTATAAAAAACATTTCGGCGATTTCTCTCTTTCTCACGTATTTCTCATTATGTAAAATAACTGGTAATGACCAATCGAAGTCATGATTAAATTCAACTTTATGTTTACTGATAACAGAAAAATTACTTTCGTGCACTTTTATGTTGTTGCGATATTCTTTTACACGAGTGCTTACATGTCTTTTTGTTTGGCCAATATATGACTTGTTACAATTTTTGCAGTCTAATTTATAATTTAATCATGACTTCGATTGATCATTACCAGTTATTTTACATAATGAGAAACACGTGAGAAAGAGAGAAATCGCCGAAATGTTTTTTATAAAAAAGTTTGACAACACGATCAACTTACAAAAGGACACTGAAAATTTAAACAATATTTATGATAGACTAATAAAGGTTGTCTAGTCTTTCTCTGTGTGTTGATGGAGATGGTTGACATGACTTCCGTCCTGTTATTAGTAGGCAGCCTGTCTTTACCACGTTTAATTAATGCGTTGAGTTTTTTTAGGCACATTGTAGACGACATTAAGACCTACATTTTTAAAAACGCGATCAATTTCACTACTCAAGCCTTCCACAATCGGCAAGGAGATGTACGAGGATGTAACTGCATTGTCGGATTCATTGTCCATATTTGCGTTATCACGGTGTTTTAAAAAATATAATCTTTTTTGTACATAGCGGTTAATAATATGATTTGGAAAGCAATTGTTGGAAAGAATCTGCTTAACGATGTCAATATTTTTGGAATGAAATCGAGTGTCTGCCAATAAAATGGCGTGGTCAACAAGATTGTAAATGGTGTTCATTTTATATTGGAACGGATGTTTAGAATAAAAATTAGTATATCTATTGGAACAGGTGGGTTTCCTGTACCAATCAGTCAAAAGACGACCATCCGATCGGATAACAATCGTGTCAAGAAAACTGATACAAGAATCAGACTCGGTTTCATGCGTAAATGCTAAGCTTTGATGGTAATTATTAAAGGTCGATTTTATTTATATATATATATGTTTTTTCTTTATATACATTTTGCAATTATAAAACTCTAATTTAACATAAAACTTTAATTATATTTCTTTATATTAATAAACGGTAAGTACATATCTTTTTAATACACGAATGTAACGAATTGATTGTATACATTATTGATATTTTCATCTTTTCCAACTATCAGTAATACAAGGCGCTTGCTGACGAGTGATATTCTTAATATAATCTTACAGAATACAAGATTAAAGATAATTTTTCCTTATATATTTGTATATTTTTGGTACGAAAAAGTTATATATTTCCTACGTAAACATAGAATTATGTAGATATTCCAAGTCTTTCTCTCTCTCTACCGCCCGCTTCTTCTCTTTTCTGTACATTTCATATTCTTCATCGTCTGTCGGCAATTCGTATCGGCAGAGTGGACACGAATTAGTCTGAAAGTATACATAGTTTTAACATAAAATATATGCACAACAAACATTTATACATATATTAAATTTGTTTAATTTTTATTTAATTCTTTTATTTATTTAACTTTAATGTAATTGAAAATTGTTTCTTACATATTAACTATTCATATATTATAAAACTGATCATACTTTTTCTAACCAGGGCAAAATACACTCTTGATGAAACACATGATGACAGGGCATCGATTTCGCTTTATCGTTCACCTCGAATTCTTTCAAGCAAACTGGACACTGTTTAGTCTCACTGGGTTCAATCTTAATTTCTGGCAAAGTTTCCACTGCATTTTTTGACGCTGGCGGTGGAAGTTTTGCGTCCTCTCCAAGTAATTCCCACATGCCATAATCTCGTAAGAACCGTGCCATTTGAATGAGATGATTCGGCGCCTCTCCGTCATCTAAAGGCGTCCAACCCATTTCCTCAAAATAATCAGACATATCGTCGAAATTACAATAGAAGCTGTTTTGTACGTGAAACTATAAATTCGTGTTCACACTTTTAGTAATAAATAATAATTTTTTTTATCTTTGATGTTTACAATCTTCACTTTGCGGATATGTTCGTATTATTGTTCAATTAACACACATTATGCGCAACAATCTGTCAAAAACCTCAAGTCATACTGATTGTGAGAAGTAGTCACAGTTTGGAGCAGAGATCACGAGCATGTTAGAAAGACGTCATTCAACCAAACCAGTTCAGAACGGAAATTACTGCAACTACATTGAACTTTAGTCAATACTAAGGTAAGCATAAATTCATATTAGTTTTATATTTTAACTTTAGATGTTATAATTTACAGAAGTTTCATTTAAAATAAATCTTAAAATGAAAAAAAGAATATATTTCTAATTATTAGAAAGAAAAAACATTTTTTGTCATTTTTGTGTGGCACCCGTTATAACCATAGTCTGATAAAGCAACTTTTCAAAGTAAAACTTTTTTGAGTCTTACTCTACAAACACTGTTGATATGTATTGAAACTCTATTGAAATTCTGAAAATTTAATGTTTATTTTCAATTTGATATATTATTCAATAAAGTTAATTCGAAACTGGCTACATGTTAAGCTTAATCTGTGAGATATTAATGCAAAAGTTAGTTAATATCAATATTTTTACATTTATATTAATTTATATAAATCAAAATTAATTTAATTAAGTTAATGTTTGCAGATATTAACTATACTTTTTTTATTAAAGTTATAACACGGCTTATGATATTTAGGTTTATGACATATTTCAAAACTTTTTACACCATTCAATGAAGTATGATTATAATCTTCGTTATGAAGATAATCATGGATTCTACTTTATCTGCTTTATCTTTATATGTATATCCAGCAACATGCTCGAGCAATCATTAGAACCTATGTGGACGTCTGTGAATTGACATCTTTTTATTGCGTCGCGCGAGAGAACACTTTTCATAAAGTATTTTGTTATGGGTGTCTGATTTTCACATACATATTGAGCAACGTATTATGGTAAGAATTTTATATTTTATTAAAAATTAATATGTATAAATTTCATAACTTAACACCAAATTTTCAACAATTATCTGCCAAAATTATTGTACGAAATAAAAATATAATACTGATTATTATGTCAAATATCGAAGTTATATTTTAATTTATAAACGTCATATTTATAATTTAATTTCCTATATTAATCATATTAATTAAATTATATTATATAATATAATATTATATAAAAGAAATAAGTTATATAAAGTAAGATAAGGAAGATAAGATATGCGATTTTTAATACATATAACGTTTAACTTTTAATTGTAACTTTTAATTTTAATTGAAGCACGACATTTATTGCACAGGAAAATCAGGTTTCAATGATGTGGTGCATAAAAAAGTTTATCTTTGTATGGTTGCTATGCTTCCGTTCATTGATAATGTCAAGTGATATTAAGAGTGAACAAACTTGTCATTTGTCAAATACTTTAATTGAAGAAATAGACTCCTATGCGCCGATAGTACAAAGAATAATTAATGAGACAATCCAAGGTTCCTTCAAAGGAAATACGTGGCAAGATTTGGCAATTTTTGTTGATAAATTTGGCCCAAGATTCACTGGTACGCAAGTGCTCGAGGATGCTATTGATTATGTGCTCAACAAATCTATTAGCTTCGGTTTAGAAAATGTACATGGTGAACCGGTTACTGTACCACGTTGGGTCAGGTACAAAATTATCAAATAATTTAAATTTAAATTATAAATTATAAATTATTATTCAATGTATTAATTTTTTGATAATTATTTACTTATACCGCCTCCCGATTTCAATAATTCTCACATGTTATCAAGATCATCACTTTGAGTACTAATGTTGTGAAGATTTTAGTCGGCGAACATTGTTTATTAAAAAATTATAAACAAAATATGTCTAATGAATAATATATAATTTTATGATATCGTATATAAACTTTGTGTTCATATATAAACTTTGTGTTCGTTTGTTTACCTTTCTTATATTGAAATCAGATAGTGGAACAATGATAGGCTTCTATGTTTTTGATATTTCTTATGACTTTGAAAATATTTAAGAAAAGGTGAGTTACTACAAGACAGATTGTTGTACAGTTAACCTGAAGTTCTACGAGTTTCTCGCTTTAACAACAAAATATAATGAGTTATTACACTATTTGTGCGCGAAAAATGTTACATTTGTAACTTTCTATGTAAAGTGTATTCGGCATTACAAACACGGGTTGGATTAGATTATATTTTCTGAAAGTGAAACTCCTACAGGGGGATGATCCACGCATGTATTTTCCAAGATGAAGTAAAGTTCGCTTAATTTTGACCTCCATTAAAAGTAAATGTTTATATCTTTTTAATAAACAATGACCGCCGAATAAACCTTCACAATATTAGTCAGAGCGATGATCTTGATAACATATGTGAGAATTTATTGAAATCGGGAGGTGATCCGTATAAGTAAATAATTACCATCTCATAATAATATAAAAGAAAAATATAGTCATTATAATACATTTTCAGGGGTTCAGAATCTGCGACTTTATTGCAACCAAGACACAAAGATTTGGCGTTATTAGGACTAGGTTACAGTGTTGGTACTCCAGAAGAAGGTATAACTGCTAATGCTGTGGTGGTGAATAGTTTTAAAGAACTTAAAAAAAGGGCGAAAGAGGTAAATTGAATAAATAAAAAGAGACGATACATATACGTATTTTTATATATATGTGCGATTGTAATACAATGAATTTCGATTATATCAGATTCCAGGGAAAATTGTTGTATACAATGAAAAATTCATCTCGTATGGGGAAACTGTGGAATATAGAAGCTCGGGTGCTACGAGAGCCGCTGAATTGGGAGCTATGGCTGTCTTGATTCGATCGGTGACACCATTTTCATTGTATACTCCGCATACTGGTATGATGAGCTACGGAGAGAACGTTACTAAAATCCCAGCTGCTTGCATAACTATCGAAGACGCAACTCTTTTACAAAGAATGTCAGATCGAGGTAATGGAAAAACTTGTTTTAATTTCAAACAGAGACAATCTATATAATAACAATAGCTTATGTATAAATTAATATTTTTAAATTTTTATCTAGGTGAAACAATAGTAATAAATCTGAAAATGCAAGCGAGAAGATATCCTGATACACAATCACGTAACGTTATAGCTGATATCACCGGTTCTAGCATTCCTGAAAAAACAGTTGTCGTTTCTGGACATATAGATAGTTGGGATGTTGGACAAGGTGCAATGGACGATGGAGCCGGCAGTTTTGTATCTTGGAATGCTTTAAAATTATTAAAGCATCTGGGCATTCGGGCGCGAAGAACGATAAGGTGATTCGAAATACAGAAAATATAGTATATGATTAAATATATATATATATATATATATATATATATATATATAAAATATACATATAAGGTAAAACGCATTAAATGGAAAAAATTAATATTTCTACAATTAGATAATATATCAAAAATGTTATTAAATAAAATTGAAATATTTTAGAAAATATATCTTTCGAATATATTTATTCTTTTCTATGCATTTTCTGACAAAGAAAAACTTGTCACATCAAATTTTTTTTTAAGTAAAAGTATATTTTTAGTATGCATATATATTCAAATGATTACAACGTATGCGTATTACTATATGTAGTTCATTCAATGCTAATCAAAGTCACAAACAGAGAAATTGTAATTGTATTCCTGACCTCAAAATCTGTTTGACTTTATATTATATAAGAAAAGAATATATATTTGAAAAATATGTGTTCTCTCTAAAACATTATAATTTTGTCTAATTACATTTTCTACATTTCATCAATATCTTTAAACATGTCCATATTTTACCCATTTTCTATATAATATTATAAAAATCAGTGGTAAAATCCGTTATACTGTCTATTTTAAGGATAAATATTTTGTTATATAAGTATTTTGCTTTTTACATAAATTTTGTCATCAATTATTTATATATTATGCAGAATGATAATGTGGACTTCCGAAGAACTTGGCATTATCGGAGCTAATTATTATATACAGAATCACACGCTGGAAAATAAAAATTTGCAATTCGTGATGGAATCCGACACAGGCACATTCATTCCTCAAGGCCTCAAATTCAGTGGAAACAAACTAGTTGAATGTATACTTCAAAGAATAATGCTGTCAGTTTTCCCATAAATTTTTATAATATTTTTATTTCCGCCCGATTTCTTGCAATCCAAGTTTTTGATTTGGATAAATCTAATAATTCTTCGCTCATTTTTAAAGTATTATTCGAAGTTTTTAAAGTTCACCAATTTTTAAAAATAATAAGATTATTGTTTTATATAAAAAACATTATTTACAATGAACCATGTACATAAAATCTTTTAATCGTTTCTTAGATTGTTGGCTCCATTGGGTAACATGAAATTGGATAGTCCCTGCGATGGACCTGATATAGAATCCTGGATAAATGCTGGAATACCAGGCGGTAGTCTATGGACGCGAGACGAAAAGTACTTCTACTATCATCATACGAATGCAGACACCATGTTAGCGGAAAATCCAAAAGCTCTGGATATGAATACAGCCATATTTGCAGCAGTATCATTCGTTTTAGCAGATATCAGCGTTGATCTACCTCACAATTATACTTCTGAAAATGTCTTTATAAAATCACCTTGACGTGTATGTATGATTACGATCGTACATGTTTATGACTGTTTTATTTCAAATATACCTATATATACAATTGTATAATACAAATAATTAGGGCGTACTCTATAATGTTAATAATTTAAAATCTTTAAAAGCGCGAAAATACAAATAAGCTTTTCCGAATCATTTTTTCTCTGCGTTTAAAGAATTTATTAAAAGATTATCGATTCAAAATTTATTGCATATCAATTTATTATATATCTCTCTACTTCCTATAATACAAAAATTCTATAATTAATAGAGCATATATATATTCTACAAAATTTTACTTTGGTTTAAGCTTGGGGATATACATATATATACTTTACGTGTGGAACTCACGATAGAGCAAAAATGATATTTATATCAAACATTTTTATGTCAAATAACAACAGGACACATACCTCCAATTAGTTATAAAAGAAATAAGGGGTAAGAAATGATAAATTAACTGTATAGTATTTTACATATTAATTCCGATATTTAGATACGTCTCATTTTTCAAATTATCCCTATTTCTTCAAATTTCTTGATATTCGTTGATTTTTTTAAATTATCAGTCTCAATCAAAAAATTCTATGATTTATATTAATGTATCCTCGTCCTGATTTGGAAAGACCATCAATAAGGAATGTTGAGAAGTCGTTCTTTGACTTGAAGTTAGCAGAGCAGTTTTTTCGCCTCCACTGCCATTCATCGAACAATCCGGGGAGCTGCCATCGAAAGCCATATAATTAGTGGTTGTACTACTTGTGGATGGCATATCGTTGAGATCCGGGGATGCTAAAGGTGGCGCCGATCGAGCATTAGTACCGTCCAATGACATGAGTTGCATGCTGTACGACTCACGGTATCCGGAAGTGCTGGACGTGTCTTCGTCCCAGGAAACGTCCGATACCTGAGGATGTAGATGATGATGATAATAGTGACAATGATGATGCTGGTGAGTCGTTCCGTGAAATTGCTGCTGGTCCGCCGACACGTTGGTACTTTTGTCTCCATCCGATTTGCGAGCAGATAGACTTCGTCTGGAACGAATAGATGAAGAATCGGATGGAATATTAGATAACGGCTGATCCACTGCTGATGCTGATGATGTTTGCACGAGCGATGTCGGCGGACTCGTCACTTGCTCGACAAGAGTTAGATCCTGCTGTTCGGATTTCGTCTGAGTCATCTGAAAAATAATATTACGTATAAAAATAATTTGCGAAAGTAGACTTAAAGTTGAATAGATTATAAATAAATAAATTATTAAATTGTAAAATAAGCAGTTTACTTGGAAAGTTAATAGATGATTCGTAACATAACGATGTATTGATACGAAGATAACACACATGCACTAAATATGTTTTTATTTAATGAGTAATTTTATTCTAATCTTAAATATAAAAAATACATAAAGTTTGTCACCTCAATGTGACTCTTTCGACTTTTTCTTAAGCGGAAGGTCTTCTTGCTTTGTCCCATAGAACGTTGTAAGCGAGGCCTGTCGGTATGGAATTCGCCAGAACCGTCTTCGATCAGACTGCTCGGACTTAGTTGGCTCGTCACTGTCTCTCCTAGCGAGATAGTCGACGATCATGTCGCGTCTACCGTCTTATTCACAGATTCTACTCTACGCTCCATCTAGTCATGCTCCTCTTTTAAAGTGTATATTCACAATTTTAAATTGTTTTCGAAGCGCGCAGGATATTACATATTATACTCGCGACCTCTGTGCTCGACGAAACATGTGTAATACTACATCTAAAATCTTCCTCATAAAATTATATACAGAAATATATGCTACTTTTGAATTCGAACATTCTCAAACACATGACGATAAAATTTCTAAAATTCATAATTATAAAGTGCATCTTTGTTGAACAATTTAAAAATTGTTTCATTATTATTCTAAAACAAAACATTTGCATTTTGATATTTAGCGAATATAATCCATATTTTTATGAAGTTGAAATATTTTCATGCTCATAAATGTACGACTAAAAATCAGATATATACTGATCATAAATTATTACTGTGTACAAAATGTTTTATGAAGACTGATATTGTGATGGTAGAGACATCTCCTGCATATATAATATAATGATGCCGCATGTGAATGGCATATTAAAGATTGAGGCATATTAATATTCCTACAGAAAGAATGTATGTTTATTACATGCATGCAAGATTGTATTTGTGAACAAAACACATGAAACAAGTTTTTTTAACTCTTCATGTAAAGAAAGCAACATGTGAGAGAACAATGCAAGACAGAAGATATTAATTATACAATAACATATAAATAAGTGTTACGCCCATTAAATTTGATAAACAGATATTTATACAGAAAGAATCGTGTAAAAAGCATCTTGCAAATTCATTCAGAATTGATACAATTGAAAAAAAAATACGAACAAAGTACTTATAATATAATGTTTAAATATTTTTATTAGATCATTCTGGCAATATAGTATAACAAGTTTTTATTTTTAAAGGAAGATGTTAAACATTTTTAAGCTATAAAAGTGTAAGCATTTTGCGTAAATAAATAACAGTATTTTGCTACTATATTTTAATGGATATAATTCAAAATATAATTTAAAGCGTGTAATCTGATTTATTGTTTTTCTGTAATAAAGTGTAGCATAAGATGTTTATAAGATTTCATAAAGATATTTATATAGTATATTTCATGCAGTAGCTTTTTTAACAAAATTTGAACATCTAAACTACAAATCAGTTTCTATTTATTTTAATTTCTATGTATTTCTAATTATCAATATTTTGATTTGTCTAATATCTCAATCAAAAATAATTGCTGTATATGCAAATATACAAAATATGCAAATATACAAAATAATTGATTAATGCAAATAAGATAAGTGTAAAAGATAAAAAAAATATTTTCTACAATCTTGCATTTTCCGCATAAATTTCTGTCCAAAATCATCTGTACAAGAATACAGTAATGATAGTAGCGAAAAGTAGATTATGCAATTGTCAGTATTATTATTACGAAAAATAGGTGAATTTAAAAGAATGAATAGAAATATATTCTGTAAAACTATACATTTTGAAATTATATCTTCAAAGACAAATATTTAATCGAAACACTTTTTAGTTCTTAAAATTGAAGATTAAAGATTTCAAGTTACAGAAAAAAATTTTTATAAGTTTATTTAATTCACCTGTTTTTTGCAATGATACAATTAAATACCATACCATGTCGGAAGGGGAAAATAGGGTCTTCAGAAGGACATGATAATAAGAATATCGTGTATAGCTAAGCAGGGATTGAGGGATTTACCTGATGAGTTTCTAAACTCTACGGAAGAGACAAAGCGCAGCTTTGGCGCCTTTTGATGAGGTAAGATAGGATGAAGCTTAACATGGTTACGTTCATCACTAGTAGAAGATGGTTGGAATCTATCTGAAACATGCCACATCGAACGTCTAATATGAGGGGAAGGATAACAAGTAAGACAGACCACACCACGATATAGTAATCACGTTGATATGTTGCTCACGATCGTACATTGCGTCGATGTTGCACATTTTTTGAGCCAGAATATCGGAAACATCGATTAATTGTGATGTAAATATGCGATGAAGTGTCATGTACCTGTAGTCTTATTGGTTTTGTCATTTTATATTCAAAAATGATATCCTAAAGTTATAATTAGAAGCTCATGGAGAAATCATTTATGAAATTCTGCAATTTTGTATATTTTTTGATATATGTACTTTAAAATATATTGTACATAAATCTGAAAATGAGTTTATATATGTATATCCATATCTTATAATAGATAAAATTTTGTTTGGTAGAAAAATGACTGCAATAATGAGAACTCCAATGAGACGAAATATTATGTACAGGTATTAATGTATGCACGACACACACAATAGTTATATAAAATTTTTTCTAAATATCTGTACGATGTTGCTTCGACCTAAAAAATATATTGAGTATTTGTGTACATCATGTTATAAGATTGCAGAAAAAGCGATAGCAAGACAAAGAATTTTTAGTTGAAGAATTTTGATGACATCCACATCAATCAATCAATTAAGATCAACGTATTAAATGTATCTTCGAGTTACGAAGACTGCTGAAATTGAGTGTGTTGATACGAAATTGTAGAAACTGATAGATGTTGTTATGCTAACTGTAAAAACAATCAGCAGACAGTTAGTTTCGTGCTCTCGAGTAAAGAAGAAAGCGATAGAACATCGAAGCAACTACGTAGTAGAGAATTGCTACGCAACGATCAATAGGGTACCAACTGTTGGACATTACCATTGTCTAAATACTGCTATATAAGTTCCTTATGATTCTGCATATAAGACGTGATAGAGACGATAATAAATATCAGTGTTCTAAGAAAAAACACCGCGAAATGAGATTGCATACACTTTTTGAAAGATTATACATATTATTTTTATTATTTAATTATTTTAAGATTATTATTTTTATTTCTCAGTCATTTTTCTCAATGCACTTTCTTTTCTTTTTGACTTATCCTATTTATTGTTCAATAAATTATATGTTCTTATAAATGATTATTTTATCAATCTCATTTTACGGTAATAGGTTTAGGAAATAACAAGAAGTGGACGAAGACCGTGGTAGGCGACGGAAGAAATAGGAAGAGCGATCGAGATATGATTAAAAATTACGAAAAAGTGTTAAGCGTGAGAGGGACACACACCAGCAGGTATATATATATATATATTTATATATCATAGATCGTGTTATAGAATTGATTGAGTTGTAGAATCGGTCCGCTTACCTCCGTTCCCTAGCTAGCAATGGAAGCAACGTAATGATCAATGTGTCAATCATACGACCGGCGAGAGAGACGCAAACGACTCTTATGCCTTTAAAACACATGACGCCTTAAATGATATATGTAACTAATAGAGGAATTTTTTTTTCATATGGGAAAGAGGACGACATAATCGTCCGTCGACGAGAAGGAATTCTTGTTCGCAAATGAAAATGCTAAACTCTTCAAGTTGCAAGCCTCGCTGTAAAGGAGAATGAAAGTGAAGACGATGCAAACTGCGCGAGAAACTACGAGTACTAAAAGAAGAGAGCAACCGTTGTCACTGAGAGAGATTGTTGGCAGTGATCTATAGACAATGGCTCGATCCAACTGTGGTAACAGTCAGCTGATTTCGTACTGCATGTACGACACGTAATGAAACGTATGCGAGAGGCTTGCAGTCGCATCGATCGTAATCGACAGTTCGGGATCCTTTTTAAAGGATTCATCGAAAGAAATGGAATACCTGTTGTCGTTGACGATGGCTGCTGTTCGACGCAGGTGTCTCCGGTAATCGTGTCGCTCGTTTCTCGCAAAGTGGAAGATCCTGCGCTCGATATAGATCCTGCAATTGAGAAATGTACTATCGACGGTATTGCAATTTCGGAGTAAAATAGCGCTGGAATACGTGCTTGTATAATAATGCGTGATATTTATCAACGTAGTCGAATGTTTAAATCTGACCTAATTAAATTCTTATCAATATTGATACAACATATATTGATACAACATTTGGAATATTGTAATAGTTGATCTTTAGGACACGAAAAATAAAGAAATAGTATAATACCGCCAATGCGAGTACCGCTCGGCACTCCTGTTACTTGACTAGACTGCATTGTTTTAACAGTACTACCCAAGTTGGAATGAGGCTGCAATTGAGAAGCTGTGGAATGAGATATCGGAGTCTCGGAAGGTGTACGATTTATGTGAGCTCTAGATCCTAGGTCTCCGGTCAGAAGATCCATGAGAGACGGCCTCTGAGTACGCGGTTGACCTTCGATTATTGGATGCATATCCACTACGCTTCTCTTAGGCTCCGGCTGCATTTCATCTGCATATTAAAATTACAAAATAATTGATTAAAAATCTTGGATTAAATTATTCATAATTTATATAAATGGCACAGGTATTTTTGTTTATGATATAAAATAATGGGACATTTAGCTAGTAAGTGCACTTTAAACAATAAAGTAATACTTTTTTATGTATTAAATTAATTTTTTTGTTTACAATAACACAATAGATTTATTAAAAAAAAGCTCAAATATGTAAACATTAAATCATAATCGTTAAATTATTTTATATTGCTAAATTACTAACCGAATCTTCGATCTTCAATTTCCTCTTTCAGATTCTTCAATTCGTGAATAAGATCCATCAGCAGCGCTCCCCGAGATTTTGGTACAGTGATGCTGCCGTTGATTTTCTCCCGAATGATGGTATGCATATTTCGCTCATGCTCGGATATCGGCGCCTGTCCGATCTTATAAATGATAAACGGTAGCATCTGGATGTACAAGGGGGTACGATGCGTTACCACGAATTCTATGAAATTCCAAAGATATATGGAAGCTTCGTTACGCTTGTTCAAAAGACGCATTGTGCGTAGAATTTTCGGCCATTCCGTTCTCAGCTCAGTTTCGAAACATATCGTCATTATTTTAAGCGCTGAAAATAAACAGATGGGGCATCAAATATGTATTGTTTACGACAGTAAGGAATATATAATTCACATAACAGTAATTTTAAACAAAAACCATATAAAAATTTTTTCCTTTCTCAATTTTTTCTTTTCTTTTAAATTATTTCTTTGATATAAATTTTACCTAGAAACGCTACTTGATATAGCGTTAACGATATTTTTGTCAAAGTTTTCGGATCTCTCGCGGCAAATGTTAGACTACCGGTCCTTATATCCGTCGATGGTTTTTGCACTGTCAACGGTACTGCTTTTACGCTCGGCGGCCAAAGAGTGTTCAATATAGCCGTTAAAGCAAAACTGATGTCCGATTGTAGCAGTTTCGGTACATCTAGAAACAGTGAGTAACGCAAGATGATGCAAATAATTTTATAAAGTAACTTTTTTGAATATTATGAATAATGCATTTTTACCTTTTCTTCCAGTTCCAATGCGCAAAAATAATGGTATCAACAAATTCAACAACGTGTTCTCGGTTCGTGTCTGAGTGGCGAACATGCTCTGACCACCGAGAACATTTTCCAACGAATATCCCTCGCCGTATGATATCACGTGCAATGCAATCAGACGTAACACCGTCGAGCAAAAATGCTGAGGCGGTATCTTGCTCATTACAGCAGCCGCGGAAGCCGAAGTTACGTCCTCAGGTGGAGTATCTCCAACAATCAAGGCCTAAAAAATTGACGACGATTAATTAAAATTAAAAATTCGATTAAATTGAAATAGATAAACAAATTTCTGGAAGAAATTCTTTATAAAGGAAATGTTTACCTGACAAGTATTCAATAGGGTCTTCAGATATTGGAAGTGCGCGATGTACGGGCATTTTGACAGGGTTTCGTAAACTCCTTTCAAAAGATTACTAGCGGCAACCCAATTAGTATTCCTCCTGATCGAAGCTTTCTTATGTATTTTACCAAAAATCTTATCCAATCTCCTGAGAATGAGTGTTAACGCCGGCCTCATGTCATCGGTCGCCCATTCGGTCGAAGGAAGAATATCATTCATATATCTACGGAGACCACGACAAGCCATAGTGACGGGATCATATGGAGAGATCTTCAAAAGACTGTGAGCGATATCCGCTAGCCGCTGTATAAAAAAAGATGCGTTACTTGCAATCGCAATTATTAAATCCTCATGTGAACACGTTATCTTGTTATAATATATCATTATAAAAACTTTTCATTAAATATGAAAAATATTTCATATTTTAAAACATTCATTTTTTCTTGCGACGAATGAAAAATTAGTTGCAAGAAAATTCGTTTCTTTATATTGGTAACTTATTAATTTATTAAAAAGTTAATTATCTCAATTATTTATTAAATTTATTGTTTAGCAGTAAATTAAGTATATTGCACATTGTTACTAGAACTAGGATAAATTTACCACGTGGCATTTTGAATCCAATAGCTCGATATTCTTTCCGTCCTGAGATTTTTTGTTGAGTTCTACCAGACGAATGGAACAACGAGCCACGAAATCGCCAACCATATTTAATAAAGTATTGCGAGGTCTCCTAAATTCGTTTTTGTGAAAATTTTCAGCATCTTCATTGTCTCGATCGTAAAAATCTCGAACTTTCGAGTGTTCTATGTATTTGGTCGTGCGAAGAGTGTCGTCTTCGAAATCGAAACCCGGTGAATACGGGCCTTTGCCATAATTTTTCTGACTGGAACCTTTATGTTCGGGACTCGATTTCTGCGGACCATTGTAATACCTGCAACAATTAATGAAATGTTAACTGCACATGAAGACAAAAAGAGAAAAAACAATTATAACAAGCAAACTATGATAAATTCAATACGTATAATTTCATACGCACTTTGTTAGCGCTTCGGAATTATTAACTAATGTCTTCACTGCAATAGCTAATTGATTTATTATTTCCTTTTCCGTCTTGCCATCTTTGTTATATGTAGGTAATTGTATCTGCTGAACGTAGCATGGCAATATTGCTTCTAATATTATCTGTATAAGATGCAATGATTTTATCAAGTATGTGTTATATATTGATAGAATAAATTAACGATATAAATTAGCAACATTATATGAAATATATCTTACCAACATTTGTTGACCTCTGAGAGCGTCAGGCGCGTAAGCTATCACCATCACGCAAAGAGATATACAATCGAGCACATTGACCATTTCGTTTTCATCGTGATAACAGAAATCTATCGCTTTCAAAGGCTTCTCTTCTTTCACCAATTCTCCTATATTAAGCGGATCCGGCGATGGAGTTTCCAAACTCAATAATAAATTAAACAGACACGTAGAAGGAACCTTAACAAATTAGACATTATTGTTTTTAAGAGACATTTGTATGTGTGTATTTTTTTGTTGATCAATGAAAAAAGCAAACCTTGTGAGCCTCGCCGTGAACGCTCATCTCATTCGTGTCCAATATATTGGATACGCTGCCAAACATTTGAAGAATAAAAGGCTTACGATTCATGAGATAAAATTGTTTGACCGCGTATTCGACAGTAGTTGTTACGAGTTTGTTCGTCTGATGCGTCGAATATAATTGCAATAAAGTCGGCATAATTAGCAGGTAACCGTTGGTCGAGAAGATATTCTTGAAATTGTGCGCTGCGTTTATATAAGTTGCCACAACGTAACGTAGAATGCATGAATCCTCGCTGTGAAGAATCAGGGCACCATTTAGAACGTTCAGAAAGAGATGGATATCGCCAGAATACGCAAAATTGCCGGCCATGGCCTCAAACATACGCGCGATCAATCTAACCCACATAAACTTATGCATTACATCCAGTCCGAGAAGTTCCTGAAATTGCGAAAGAGAATTTTACATTAATGAAATTATTTTATAAAATGCAATGCACGTGACGATTTTAATTGAAATTAAATATTTAAATACGTACTCTTCCAATCTCGCCACCTTTGTACAGGTCCAAATCCGCTTCTAGTGCTTTTCGTGGGAACGATGGTAGTTTCATGAGTTCTTCGTGAAGAAACACAACTCTCTGCACCACCATATCGACATTCTTCAAGATTGCCCAAGTTAATAGCACTTTTCCTATCTCCACGAACTTGTGCATTAATTCCTGTTTTTGTAACGCGTTAAACGCGTCTTCCGGTTTCATATGAACAAGTTCGATTTGTGGGAATTGAGACCTCTTGAAGAAATAATAGTCTCTAACATATGACGATGGATTATGTATTTGATCTGGAATTTAACATAGGGCGTATAACATAATAGAATTATTATTGCGTAGTAAGAATAAATTAAGAAACTAACGCGTCTTGTAATCAACGAGAAAATATTCATGATGTTTCGATTCTTCGATGCCGAAAAAGTCCAAGGACTCTCGAAGTATCTGACAAAATTGCGTGTCCTCTTGGACCGGAAATTGCGAGGGTATTTCTCCGGAATCGGGATCCTGTGAACCATGAACAATGATTTTTTTTGCCGATGGAACATTTGCCGTAAGCAAGATTGACGCATCGCACTGCTCCTTACGCAGAATCTGCTTTAGATCTTTAAACATAATGCCGTGTACACTGTGTACCACCTGATATCAGAAAATCATTGTCAACAATCTCTTATTGATAAAAAAAAATTTGATAAAGACATTTAGCTTACCATCCACAGAATAGACAGTGCAGTTCCAATTAACTTTTGACCCTCCTCGTGCGGAGTACGCACATAAAACATGACGTATCCAATGATATAATTGTACAGTGCGAATGCAGCTTGCTGCGGTAGCTTCGGTACAAATCTAATAAGATGTCTTAAAATCTTGAACATTAACTCTTGCTTTTCTCTCGTCAGACGTTCCAGTACATATCGAAGGAACAAAGCACTGTCTTCTACCAAGCAACTCCAGATCACCTGATATATAATATAAATTTTAATAATATGTTAAATAATAAGTTTATTTTAAATTAATATTTTATTTTAATATTTTTTAAATAATAAGTGTTTTTAAATAATATGTGTGTGATTGTAGGTTATAAATTTTATTCATTATACTTGATATGCCACTTCATATACGGCATTCCCATCATCGGATACTGCTGGATCATCTAGAAGATTGATAATTTGAACAATCGCTGAACATAACGATGAGGGAAACAACGAGAGAGCCGATTGACCGTGATGCGACGTATTCCTCGGGACTGTCTCACCTGCATCCTCATCTCCCACGGTTCCTGTAACGAAAGAAACATCACTAATATTGAATATTTAATATTAAATATAATAATATTGATACATTCTGACAAGAGTACGTACCTTCGTCATGATCATCTCCTACTGGGCTGGGTTCATAAGCAGCCTGGACGGTAATCGGTATCGTTGTTATTAGAAAGTTCTCTCTTTCTTCCCGTTTTTTATCATCTTGCGCCTGAAGAGCTTTCTTGATCAATTCGGTCTGCTGCTTCTTTCTCGTCTTCGTCGCCGTCACTAAAGATCTCTAAAACAAGAAGCAATCCATTAATTTTAAAGCATATGAAATCGTTGACGATAATTACTTACGTGACGTTCTTGATTGATAGTGACTTCCTCCACCTTGGTTTTCACTTGTGGCATCCATGGCGGATCGACCACCGGTAAGGATTCTATTCCAATCTTTGGCGACGGCAGAGTGAATTCTATTCCTGGCGGAGGCACTTTGAAAGTTAGATGAGCCGCCTCTTCCATCCGTGGCCACACTTGATATCGTAATTTCCACAAAACTTGAAACCGCAAAATAGCATTGATGCGTACACTGCTGTTACTGTGTTGCAGACCTTTGTGCATTAGATCGCTGGCTTGATTCGGTGCTCGTACGGCTGATATTATAAAAAGTGCCGCGGCTGATGCGGCTACTTCTTGATTAGATTCCAATAAGAGTTCCCATGCGACAGGTAATACTTCCACAAACAGATCTTCCGTCATAACGACAGCTCCTTTTACCAAAGTAGCCAAAGGCGAATGAAAAGCATCTTTCACTTGAGTCTTTACATATTTTAAAATCGGCGGTGGTTCTTTATCTTCTTCAACATCATCATTCGTATTCTTTTTTGAAGATTCCTTGCCTCTTTCAGAGTCTTGCTCTGCGAGATCTTTTGAAGAATCCCGTTGAGTTGATCGACCAGATTGAGATCCATCTAGATTTTTTTCTATTCTGAATAAATATTAAATAAGTTATTAAATTAGAATATGAAATATAATTTTAAAAGCCATAGTTATTTACACTAGTTTTTTCATTCTCAGTTTTTAATATTTAAAATATTTAATTAATTTGCAATATCTTAGAACGTGAATATTTATTTTATTAATAAATATATTTTAATAAAAGTTTAAATTACTTGTACTTGCGCCCCAGGCTGTCTTTTCTTCGGACAGGCGACACCTGTGTACTGGTTTGTTCGGATATCTTGCGACTACGTTTGTCTTTTTTGCCATCTTCTTTCTTATCAGTGTCGACATCCAATAAACCAGTTCCGTTCAAAATGCCAAATTTTTCACCATAAATCTTTCTCACGGATTTTATTAACCTGCTGCTAGCACGCATTTGTCGCCGATGGCAAAAGGGATGGCAGAAATTCTGGTGAGAACAATAGAAATTGAAGGAATTGGCGAGCTGCACGAGTACCTTCATCCAGGGGAAATTCTTATTGGTCTCGTCAGTTTCATTGCTATCACTCGGGCTCTCTGGTGGTTGATCATCGCTGAGAATACCCGGTGATTCCTCGCCGCTAACTTCGCCGGCAGCACCGGGTTCGGATGTATCACTTCTATCGGAAAGCGAGCTCACTTTCCTCTTAGATTGAATCGAATCTGCACGTTTTACTGTGTCTATAAATGAAAAGTTATTAATTAATATCATTAATTAAATATACATGATTGTCGATATGATCAATAACTGAAAAATAAATTAATAATTAAAATTTTCTAACAATATTACGTAGCTTACGCTCTAAACATTTGTTTGTAATATATTTATAATTCAATTTTTAACAGAGATTTAATAATATTTTATTATTCTCTTTATTTTTGTTAAAATTTCACTTACACGCCTCGCATTCTGTATCTTTGCCTTCTTTAGTATTGCGACGAAGTTTAAGGCTCCTTTTCTTAAACGAACCAGTTCCCGCAGTACTACGACGAAGGAGGAATGGTCTACTTTGAGGTGTTGGCATCCTTTTCGCTTTTTCCTTTTCAATGTTTTGGGTTTCTTCCCCTTGAATCGTAACCGTCGATTTGCTGCTACCCTCGGACTCATTATCAGGTTCGTACAAAACAAAACTAATTTTACGCTCCGCTATAAAATTAATTTATATTTATGTAGTTTATAATTGATTTTAAAACGAAATGTATTAGATGTAGTGCTTGTAATTAATTTTATATATGTATACATACACATAAATTTTTTCTCTATACTAACCGATTCCTTCACGATTAATAACTTCACCGGCTATAGATTGAAGACTTTGCGCAGATGCTTGTGAATGGCCCATAGATGATAAAGCCACACTCCAACGTCGATTTGCCTCTCGACTATACATTCTTTCCCAAGGTGGGGGACGTTCCTTTGTTAGCAATTTACTTGACTTTGGTAATGTTTGATAAGTCTCTCTTAAGAATGCTGTCACTTCCAGGAGCAAAATGCAAGCAACGTGACGCAATGCGAAGGGGCATTGGGATCCATAACTGTTTATACTCGCTAAAAATTTATTAAATTTTTATTGTATTTCGTTTTAGACTGCCCAAATAATTTTGTAATAACTTTGTAAAAGAATATTACCTTCATCGAGAAAATCTTCCTCTTCATCTTCCAAGATTAAATCTCTCTGTTTGCTTTCATCAGATACTATATTGATTATCTGTTCCATGTTTTGTTTATCTTCAGCTAAGAATTCTTCCAAACGTGCTCCTATAGCCTATTTTAATCACGAATTTACATTTTACTCTATCAAAAATTATTTTAATGGAAGAAAATGCAATGGAAAGTACCTCTGCCCATTGATAAAATAATTTTCCCGCAGTGCGTTGTAATACATGAACGCGCCTAAGCGTAGTGGAAGCGTTTCGATTATTTATCGGCACAGATGGTCGAAACATGGGAAAGTTGTGCTTCATCCACGTTGGCCAGTGGCCTTTGTTGCATTGGTGCACTAAGTGTGCACATTCCAGTATCAAACAAGCGCGAGATACTACTGGAGCATATGGCTGTAATATCACATATCAGTAAATATTTCGCATTTTATCATTTTACATAAATAAAATAATTTATAAAATCAGCAAAATAATCATTACAAGATCCAAAAGCGATGCCATTAGATGAGGATCAGGAACGGAGCCTGGTTGGCACGTCTCTAGTAGAAAGGAAAATCGTAACATTCCATTGAATACCGCAGAACAAGGTACTAATCTTCTTTCCTTCAAAACAACGAACTCGGATTCTCTGCAAGCCTCGCCGAGCTCCATTGAATTTCTTCGACTAAAGTCTAATTAAAAAGATATAGACATGTATAAAAAATGGTTAATTAACCATTATTTAATTTGAAATTTTTCGACGCTATAAAATTTACATACAATAATAATATATAAAATATATGAATAATATATATTAAATAAAACGGGAAAGTATAAATCTTACAGCTTCCAGGCGTCTCTTCCATGCTTTCTTTTTTCTTGCTTTTTCCGAAACCGATTTTATTCAGCTGATCCTCCATTCGACGTTTCGCCTTTAAAAATGTTAAGCCGACCCTGAAAAGAATTGCGCATATGATATAATATTTTATTTCCTCGAAATAATATAATATTTTTTATAGGCGCAGCAAGTAAAGGCGTCTTTAAATAAACCGTCTTACCCGCGACTGGTGCGTGATGTGCTGCGATAAGGACCGTAATGGAAACTGGGCTGCCTAACAAAGCTGCCGTCTGTGGGTGATTCGCTACTTTCATGGCTATCGGTAGAATCAGTCCGACTGTACTCCTTCCGGAACCAATTGACTGAAAAAACCGATCGGAGAACGATTCGCTATAACGACTTACAGTATGTTGTAAATGATACGTGCAATTTCTGCCGCTACTGCTCACCGATACCACCTATCTGAAATCGAGTCGATTTCCGCATTTTTCCAGGCCCAAGAAAAGATTCGCCGATACATAAATTACGTTCGCTCTGTCGAGGCGTTAACACGTGATGCTTCTTACGCAGATTACCCAATGGGCTTTGACTGGCTTTCACGCTTTCCTCACTCAATTCCGTTTCAAGGAGACTCTGCAAATTTGATCCCGCCTACCCCCAGATCTCTTTTTAATATTATGTAAAATAATGGAATACTATAATTTTATGCAATTATTGTATTTACAGCACAAGTGGACGATGTGCTTCTCTTCTTGAAGAGAAACTTTCGCGATCCTCTGTCATCAACAGTGTAACACGTGTCTCCTCCAATATCAGGGTGTTCCTCTAAATCTGATTGATGAATGTGTCTGTGAAATTTAATAGAAATGTGTAAAAAATCGTGAGATTTTTTTTTAAATGACAACTGTTTATTTTTTAATAAGTTATAATAAGTAAGTTTAACAAGTAATTTAATAAGTTATAAACAAAATTCTCTCAATTATTCAAACATTATTGATTTTAAAATTACTAACAAAATTTTGGCAATCATTATTATTTACATGGAGATACACTATTCCATTTTTAAAAAGATTATTTAAACATATGATTATTATAAATATATACTAGAAGTTTTAAAAAAATAACGAATAAAATTAAACACAAAAAATAGTGATAAGTTTTAATATTTTCAAGAGTATTTTTCATTCTTGCGAGTGTTCTTAAGATTAAAATATTTAGCATGCTCATCTAAAACCGAACCTTATAACACGTGTCGTTTGCACGTTGCTGTTACATCGTTTATTTGGTCGATCCGCAGAATCCAGAATGCCGCTGAGGGCAACACGTCGAAAAATACCACCGTGCGCTTCCTTGATATACGTCATCAACTGTCGCACGTCGCAGTAGAGACCGATATTCTCCTGCGTCTTCAGGTGCTTCATAGAATCAACGAGGCGTGTGACCAAAACCTTGAAGACGTAGGTCATAATTTGCCCTTCGATACCACGAGCTCCGTAACTACCGACGTTGTAAGACGGTGCGACGCCGGCCGTCGCGACGACGCTTCCGCCCGAAGTACCTGAAGTACCAACTCCGGCCCCACTGCCACCGGAACCAATCATCCCGGCGCCGAAATTCGTCGCGTATCCACTTTGACAAACTACATCGGGCGACTTGCTCGATATTCGTTTTTGATCTGAAACAAAGATTAACATGAGCGAAAATAAGCTTGCATTAACAGAAACCTATTATTTTTGGAAAAAATAATGAAAATTCCTTAATATATCTTTGAAATTAACACATATATTTAATATTTACTCACTGAGTGGCGATAATAGTGAACTTGGATCAACGCAGTACCCAACATACGCATGAAAGAAGTCCAAGATTTCCGTCAGCGGTTGTTCGCGTATCATCGTTCTTAAAAATCGCGAAAATTGACGGGAACTCGCGCGATGCAATTTAGTTAGGATGGTTTGACCCTGAGAGCGACAAATATCGGCCTGAGGACCACGCACTCCGTCCAAGCAACCGTGTGGACAGCCCAAGTGTTTTAATACTCTAATCACGCAATTCATAAGAAGATTATGTGCAGTCGGCTTGCCTTTCCCATCATGTCTAGATTCCTGTTGATTTAATACCATTGGCGAATCCTGTTTCTTTCCTGTTTCCGATTTGTTATCGATTCCTGTACCAGATCCTTTAAAAATAAAATTGTTCAGCAATGAAAGCTTAGCATGGATCTTTTTCATTCTTGTTATAAAATATATAATAATAGTTGAACAATTTAGTTTTCTACATTCTAATAAAAGAATGCGAAACAAATTATTTAAACATGCAAAGTAGGAAGCAGTTGTTGCTGTATAAAAATATTGCATTTTAAATAATAATTATTTAAATAGTAATTATTTGAATAGTCTTTTATTGCCTGCGTTACTGCTGGTGGCTTCCTCCCGAAGACAATGCTTCATCACTCCCATGTCCATTAAAAGTTCCATTAAATTTAACATAATCTCGCAGACTCGTGGCGTACAAGAGACATTATCTCGCAGCGCAACGGAGTGTATCGCCTAAACAATAAAATGTGTGACCGAGAAGACAAAATAAAAAAATGTATTATAATTTAATATTATGTACTTTCAAGACGACTTGAAGATCAATATCGCCTTCTTTAGTAATGTAACATGCGGAACCTGGCGCTTCTGGCATCTCGTCGCTCATATAAGTGATGTTAGAATCTGTCTGAGATCTCGTAAGACTGGGTTTCCTTTCGGAGCATAAACGTCCTCCTTGAACACTGATGAGATCCAACTGACTATCAATGGATCCCTGAAAGAATAATAATCAGAAACTCAATAAATCAGATAATCGTCGCTATATTAATCTCAAAAGATTAGAATTATTACTCTCTCAGAGAATTTCTTTTAATAATGCTATTTCTCTTAAATTAAATAAAAAAATTATTGGAAACTATTAAAAAATACTAGACTAAAAGAAGAATAGAAAAAATTAAATATATCTTTATAATATTCCATAATACATTTATAATTTTGCTTTCCAGAAAATCACAGATTTTTTACCTGTCGCTTCATGTAATCTGGAGATGGGGTTGGCGTGTGCTCCGTGACGGTAATGATAGGATTTGGAGCGGTGTAGGATTGACTATAGAAACGACTCTGTTTTCTTTCAATGCGAGTATCACCGATGTACCTAGAAAATAGCATAGGTCAAAAGTTCAATTCGAAGAGAGTGCTTTTAAATATCCTCATGCCACTTGCCAATGTGAGCCCTATATAGTCAAGCACTACGCTCTCATCTCTATGATCTTGATCTACGATCGTGCGCCTGTCATTCCGTCGACACATGCACGATGATTTTTAATTGCTTTTCATATCAACGTTGCCCAATACATCGAAGATTAAACTGATTTAGATTGAAAAATAATATATAGATTTTTATAGATAAAAGCTCATGTTTGTAGTAAAAAATAAAATAAACGACAGTTTAAAAAACAGTTTTTATTATATACAGGGTGGATTAATTAATTAAATATTTATATATATCGAATAAAAAAGCGAGTCGGAACGCAATCAGTCGAATAGTGAATTAAATATTTATATATACCAAACGAAAAGATGAATCGGAATGCATTCGTTCGATTAATTCGTTAAATATTTATATATATAAATATATATATATATATATATAAATATTAATATTATATATATAATTATATATATAATTATAATAATATTATATATAATATAATATTATATTATATATAATTATATATAATATTATATATATAATTATATATATAAATATTTAATTAATTAATCGTACGATTGCATTCCGATTCATCTTTTCGTTCGGTATATATAAGAATTTAATCAATTAATCGAACGATTACATTCGGCTTGCCATTTTACTCGCCGCGTTACAGTGAATATCGCGCGAGAGAGGCAGGCAACATGCGCAGTGTCTTGCACGACCGTCCGCGCGCAGACGAAAGACGGCCAATTTATATCTCGACTTCCGGACGCGATAGCGATTTCGTTCTTTTTGCATAAAATTCTACACCATTTCGCAGCACTACCGTTTTAATCTCGTCCCGATCGCCCGAGGAGCGGCTGACTTACAGTGAATATCCGAAATCTGTTTCTCATTCCTAAGTGTAATATTTACGAGTATATACAAGGTATCCGTCAATTTTCGACCTTAACGAAATAAAGAAGTAAATTGGCTCAAATTAAGAAGGAATGACCTGTATTGTTTTGGGATTGTCGCAATAATTAACGAAATATTAAATAAAGAAGATCGATCAATCTGTGTGAGTAGAAGCGCGCGGCGACGAGAGTCGTCCACTGTAATCCGATACTACGTGCTCGGCGAAGCGTTGGGCGGGTCGCTTTCCGAGACATGATGATGGTTTGCGATATATCGCTATACCGCGCTGAAAAATGACCCGTCCTTTTAGTGGCGAAAAAATGATGCGCTATCATTTCCACACCACCTTGCGGTAGATAGCATGGTGCGCTTTTTTTATAGTGGTTTCCCCCATAGGCCTATTCTACTCTCAATTTGAAAATTATTCAAAATGCCATTACTATACGCTGAATATATCGTAAATGTAAAAAATTAATGGTGACAGTACCTTTACAAAAATTGATCCGTGGTTGAAAATCCCTCGATAAAATATATTGCACACGTTGATAATGTTATGATAATAAAATGCTTCAAGAATCCTTTCTTTATCTCGTACACGAAGGCTCACTGCTGGATCGGATATCCCGATATTATGCACGACACTCAGTTTCACATAATTATTGCACAACACGTAAAATTGTACGGCCACTTGGTTTTCGTGCACGCCCGAGAAATGATTCCATGTAAATTGCGGCCGCACGATAAGTATTTTCTCCCGCTAATCCGTATGCCACAATCATATCCGTATATTCCTGCAGAGTACACTTCATTTTCTTTGTTAATTTACTACGCAAACACAAGATTTTTATTAAAACGTCTTAGCTTTCGCACGTTGTTACCAGACTGCATACGTCAGCAGCACGCAACTACAGCTGACAGCTGAGCGGACATGTGAGTGTAATCGCACGTGTGAGTTTGACGTCCGGGCATATGTCCACTCAGCTGTCAGCTGTAGTTGCGTGCTGCTGGCGTACGCAGTCTGGTAACAGCGTGCGAGAGCTAAGATGTTTTAATAAAAATCTTGTGTTTGCGTAATAAATTAACAGAGAAAATGAAGTATACTCTGCAGGAATATACGAATATAATTGTGGCATACGGACTAGCAGGAGAAAATACTTATCGTGCGGCCGCAATTTACATGGAATCATTTCTCGGGCGTGCACGAAAACCAAGTGGCCGTACAATTTTACGTGTAATAATTATGTGAAACTGGGTGTCGTGCATAATATCGGGATATCCGGTCCAGCAGTGCGCCTTCGTGTACGAGATGAAGAAAGGATTCTTGAAGCATTTTATCATCGTATCATTATCAACGTGTGCAATACATTTTATCGAGGAATTTTCAACCACGGATCAATTTTTGTAAAGGTACTGTCACCATAAATTTTTTACATTTACGATATATTCAGCGTATAGTAATGGCATTTTGAATAATTTTCAAATTGAGAGTGGAATAGGCCTATGGGGGAAACCACTATAAAAAAAGCGCACCATGCTATCTACCGCAAGGTGGTGTGGAAATGATAGCGCATCATTTTCTCGCCACTAAAAGGACAGGTCATTTTTCGGCGCGGTATTGCGATATATCGCAAACCACCATCATGTCTCGGAGAGCGACCCGCCTACCGCTTCGCCGCGCTCGTAGTATCGGATTACAGTGGGACGACTCTCGTCACCGCGCGCTTCTACGGATATTCACTGTAAGTCAGCCGCTCCTCGGGCGATCGGGACGAGATTTAAACGATAGTGCCGCGAAATGGTGTAGAATTTTATGCAAAAAGAACGAAATCGCTATCGCGTCCGGAAGTCGAGATATAAATTGGCCGTTTTTCGTCTGTGCGCGGACGGTCGAAATCGTGCACGACGCCGCGCATGTTGCCTGCCTCTCTCGCGCGATATTCACTGTAACGCGGCGAATAAAGTGGCAAGCCGAATGCAATCGTTCGATAATTGATTAAATACTTATATATATCGAACGAAAAGATGAATCGGAATGCAATCGTTCGATTAATTAATTAAATATTTATATATATCGAATAAAAAAGCGAGTCGGAATGCAATCAGTCGAATAGTAAATTAAAAATCTGTACATAAAAAATACATTAATCTTTATAAAAACAACATATTATAAATAACAAATTGTAATTGAAAAGCCAAAAAAGGGCAACGTTATTTCATTTTTTATTTATCTCATTATACAACATGCATAAATATATGAAACACGACGATATTTCTACAATGTACGGTTTTTCATTTATATATTTAATGGAACTATATATATATATATATATATATATATATATATATATATACTGGAATATAAAAAGCAATAAATTACTGAAGCAATACAAAGGGGCGTATTTAAATTCGATTGTGAATTTTAATTAGTGCATGATATAATTGAGTATAGTGTATCATATACATAAGTGTCATAAAATAATAAAATAAAAATAAGAGTATTATCAATAAAGAAATTGTCAATTTTGTAAGTTTGATAAATAATTTCTTTCTGTCATTATTTATTATTTAAATTCTGCTTTTATTCAATGATGTATAGAGTATATTAATATAAATATTAGAAAATTACACATTTTCCGCATTATATATAAATTGTTAAGAAAATATTGTGCTGTTCACAGGACAATTTTATGTACAATGGAATTAACAGAATATTAATCACAATCAAATGGTATATTATCAAAAGCAGAAGCAATCGTTAAAAAATTATTGTCAACTAAGTTTATTATTGAAACATGAAACGGATTAGTAATGTGCCTTATATGTCTTCGTGAATTCTTGCCGACGTGCCGATGTGACTGAATTTCGGTGTGTATTTAAAGGGTAAATGTGCGCCCTACCGAAAGCAGGAAACTTGTAAAAGAAGCATGTGAACCGAGCTGCAGTACGGAACTTCCTCCGAGTGACGTTGATGACTTACCCTCCCGCGGTCAGCTCGTTAATCAAGCAGCTGAGCACGAGTTCGGGGTGAAAAGGCGAACGAGAGAGAGAAAAGAGACACACACAGAGAAACACCATTACGCATAAGTTTTACGATAGAATTATCGATATTTAAGCGTTGGATTAATTGTCGAAAAAATCTGAGCCACATTTTCGGACCACATATTGAATCAATTGTTAATTATCCAGCTTTCAATAACTATTTTCACTATTCAATAACTAAATTGCTGTAATTAAGATTCAATATTGTTTTAACAAATTTTAACAAATATGTATTAATTTTTTAAAATTTGTGTAAATTTGCTGTAAATTAAAGAAAATTATAAATCGATAGATTCATACATTATTCATACAATTTATATGGTCGAAAACATGGTTCAAGTAATCAATGTTGGATGCAATAATAATAGTGTGTTGTTATAGAGAATAATTATAAATTATAAAAAATAATTATAAGTTATAAAAAAGAATATTATTTTAAGAAATTCAGAATTTAATTTAAAATTCTTAATTTTTCTTTTAATATAAAAAATATAAATATGACTAGAAATTTAGAAATGAAAATCGAATCCAAATTATTGTAATTAAAACATTAAAAAAATTAAGAATATTGTATAAAATTATCTAATAAAATATCCAATAAAATATTCATAATTATACATTATCCAATATTGATTATCGTCAATACCCGCAAAAAATTCTTGCTCTAAAGAAATGTTTGTCTTTTATTACATACAGCCTAAGCACAACTACGTCCCTTCTGGCTATAAATGTTATTACGATATAAATATTTAATTACGATATAGATATAATTATAGCTTCTTAAAAACTAGAAATAAATGTTTGCTACAAAAAAAATATTTGCACGTAAATATGCGTCATATATTCGTTTCCCAAGTTTGCTGAATTAAAATCAAACAAAATTATAAGAATTTATCAGTTATAATAAATTACAAAATTACGAATATTTCTGTAAGTGAAACAAATGATGAAAAGACGCATATTTATGTACGAATGAAAGAGATTGAAAGTTAAAGCAAGAAAAATCATATAAGTATATCTTCGCTGCTTCCTTTTGAATAAAGCAAATAACGCTTACCTTAAACTCGGCATACTCTTCCCTTTAATTAGATTTGTAGGATGTTTCATGTAGTCGACGTCCTTCGCCTCGAAAATCTTTGAACTAGTCGAGGCTTGTCTTGTCAGATGATCGTCTCCAGTATCAAGGCTTCTGTGACATTCCTAAGAACGAATGTTGCAAGTAGATATATGTATATATGTAATTATTAGTTAAATATCTTTTAGTTTAACTGCACACAAATTTCTCACAAATTAAATTAGAAATAATACAACTCACAAATACATAGCAGTTCTTTCAATCTAACTGTAATTTATATATTATAATTTATATATCTAATAATAATTTCTCTTTCTATCTTTCTATTATTACTTTTATTAAGCATTTAAAGCTTTACCTGCTCGAACAACATCTTGGGCTCTTCTTGGCCAATCTTCTCAAGTGCCTTCTCTGACTTTGATAGCAATTTTGTTTCTACGAAAGCTTTGAGATCGGCCATCTTCATGCGCTTTTTCGTCTTCTCGCTGGCGCGTCTTGTATGGCTTGATTCGCTCTCGTGACCTTTGCGTGTGGGATACGGAGAATCTGAAAATGTGTCCAAGTCTATACAGAGAAAGAAGAAGTGTCTCGAGATAGACATAGGAGGTCGGCATGAACTTATACCCGTTAGAAGAGTGGTATCACGTGTATCGGGCACTTCTATAAAATCTTTTAATACATCCTTCTTTTTACTTTCAGGGCTCTGATAAATCGATACTTCAATTTTCGGTATGGGCAAGGAGTTGCTGCGGCGACGCGGCATTTGCTGTACTGAGGTCTCCTCATTGATCCTTCGTAATCTGTAATATATTTCAATATAAGACAATACATTTATTTAGATGACTATAATATCATGTTTTTACACAAAATGTCTTTAAAAATATTAATATTTTAATATATTTTAATATATATAGTATATACACACAACTAACCGATAATATAAGAACTGAAGAGCCCAGAAGATACCCTCTTCCTGCCATTGAGATACGAATAAACACCTCAAAGTAGCTACGTCTAGGAAGGTTGCAGCTCGGACGTCCGAATCGACGGCTGCAGAACCGGTAGCGTGTTCCGTTGCAAGTTGTCGTTGAATCGAGAAACTTTCACGTGTTTTCGAGGTTCCTTGCGCTTCTTTTTCCGTCTTTAAAATTTTCTCTTCCTTTTCCTTCTCCGTATCTCTATAATAAAAATGCTTTTTAATAAAGCAATACCAACAAAATATCAAAATATTTTGTCTAAATAAAAGTAAAAGAGATTGAAAAGACAAACATTTGTTAAGCTATAAATGAATTTCTTTTAATAATTTTAATTTTAATTAAATAATTAAATAAAATTTATATAGACAAAATAAGATTGTATGTATAAAATTTAGCCAACCCGATTTTCACAGTTTTTCCATGGTATTGTTTGCACGTGTCTAATCCAGAAATTGCCGTGACCTGCTCTATCGTCAACGTAGATTTCGAGGAGCTAGTCGTCCTGCCCATCGCGACGTGAAAGATGCTGGCCTCACCCTGCGGTAGCCACAAAAATATTACTTGTTCTGCGCTTAGTTTCGAAATATTACCTCGCGTAACTCACTGCGAATATGGTGGAAACTTCTTTTACCCCATCAAGCATTCTCTCCGATTCACTCAAAGATGGTAATCTGAATATTACCTAGTGCATAAAAAATACGTTATTTAATAATTAAGTAACGATTAGGATTCGTCAATTAAGATCTCTTCCTTACCACATGCTCGTCCTCCGCACCGGAGCTTTCTTCAGGAATCGTCTCTGGGAAAACTGTGTCTTTTGGCGATGACAACCAAGTACTTTGTTGCTATTATTATTTATACAAACTTACTTTCTGTTTTATATAATCAAGCAATTTTGCTAAAATATTTAATTTATTTGATATTTAACTTACATCATCGTCAATTACTTTCGAAGATGGCGGGGCGCTTTGATCCGAAAACGATTGATTGGGTGGACTTTCGACATCTGAGCAAGCGAAAAAACAAGATGATAAAATAAAGAAGAAGAAAATGCTATTATATATAACAAATAATTATATATAATATCATTAAATGTATAATAAATAGTTCAATATAATGTTATACAAATATACTACTAAACTATACATAATACTATAAAAATATATACAACAGGTTTTGTGTATTACTTCCAAAGGGAACTTACTTCCTCCGACAAAAACGTCATCGGACAACAAGTGATGTTTGGCGGATTTAAAAGACTGACTCCAATAAATACGTGACTTGGCACGGCAATGTGCCGTAAAGCAAGTTGCCTCTGGATGTCGGCATTCGTACATGGCGGACCATATTTTTAGACCGTTTTCTAATCGCAAATTCGTCTTAAAGTCAATGTCTTTTAAATGGTTAAACAGAGGCGCAAACAGGTAAACAAAGAGCTGAATAGAAAGAAGAGAATAATCATTTTCACAATTTATATATTCAGATTGTATAAAACTGAAAAATTCAAATAATTTACCGTCATAGTGGGTATTGGAAATAAATAAAAAAAGGGATTTGACGGATCCATGTCATTCTCGGAACATTCCTCAGCAGAATCTAAGAGTATCCAGTGGAGAATATAAAGAAGAGTCGTTTCCATCGTGCCGAGGCTCTGAAAATCCTTCCTAAAAAATTAATGACGACTTCTATCGCATGAAAATTCAACCTGAGAATACTGAGATATTCAGTATAACTTACTTATTATGCAAAAGACTGGCCGTAGCATGGAGAACGTAAGGAAGAGCGGCTTGAATCAAACGCCAACGTGGTACGTTGCCCAATATCTGGCTTAACGAAGGCGTGAGGTCATTGTGAAGATTTTGTACTAAAACCCTCTCAAGACACTATATAAAAAAAGAAAGAAATATTTCAGAAAAAATTTCATTTAATAACTAATCTCTTCTTGTTGTTGACATAATAATATGAATTATTATATTTTCATATATTTTATACAAAATTTTATACAAAATTTATGTATACTGACCGTGCATGCTTCCTTCATTTCCTATGTGCGTTTTGGGAATTAATAAACAGTATTAATTTTCAGAAAATGGTATTAGAATTACAAGAAACGAGAAAAAGACAAAATAAGATTTACAAGATAAATGAATTAAAATAGCAAATTTTTACAACAGGCTACGAGCAAAGCTACATACAATATTATTATATTTAATAAATAATAAATTATTTTATTTAATAACATAGATTGTATACGTGTAAATATTCAATCATATAACAAAGTGCATTTGTGTGTATTAAAAATTATTATATACAATATTTTTATAGAATCTAAGAATATATATTAATTATATCGAGAATTAATATTAAAGTTAAAAAATATTTTATTAAAAACATTAATAATTTAAACATCTGATTACATTATTTCATTCCAAATTGTGCTGGAAAATTAATTTGGTACATTTATAGATTTCATTGGATCACAAGAGGAGAAGAAATATAGGAGATATAAGGATGACAAGACCACGGAATCTATCGAAATGATCAAAGCAGGTTTGCGTGCAAGCTTGCAGGCAGGTCTTGAACGGGCGAGCCAACTTACATGATGGCCTGGCGCATGTTGACAGAACTGCAGGTGACACGTGGAGGCGGCCGCGTGGAGAGGACATTTATGTTAGTGCAAGAGAAGCAGGTATTGCATAACATAAGATTAATAAAACGAAATAATTGTATACATTGTGTTAAAACCTGAGATATTGCTTTTATATGAAATCTTTTAGAATTAGGAATCGATATAAAAACTTTCAGGGTTTAATGCAAGGTATATCGGAGTAAAAGTATATACGGGATAGCAAGAAAACGGATATTCAATATCAAAAGTATATTCTACAAAATATTATCTCAACTTAAGGGGATAAATTAAAAAAATATTATTTATAATTTTTTAATCCTGAGATCCTCCAGGGTTTATTGTCTGCAAACAGCTTTGTACGTACACCATATAAAAATATAGTTATAATTAAATAAATAATAAAATTGTAAGTGACAATTTATTTCACATAATTCTGTTCTTGAAGCAATAATACGCATTTGTAACGATTGTAATAAAACATCGTTATCCAAGACAAATCTAATAATTAAGAACAGGTTTACATTAATAACACTTGGACATATGAAGCGGGTTCTGAACAAGAAGCACAACTTTGGCAAAGACGATCACGAAAGCGGAAACCGGTAAGAAGAAAAGTTCTTCCGTAAGATAAAAATATGTATTTCCATAATTTAAATCGGCATCTCGGGATCTATATCAGAAATACGCGGTTATTATCATGAAAATACGATCGAAAATATTTAATTTAATCGATTATTTTGATAAATCTTGTTCTCAATATTGAATGCATTAGGCATTTTTATATTTTAAACTTACGATTTAAGTCTAAGAGATATCTAGAAGATTATTGATTGAATTGTTACCGTACAAGATGCTTCATGAAGTTTTCCTAGCTTAGCTCGAATAAATGGCCTAAAAAAATAATAAAGTAAATAAGATATCTGTTTGCAGATAAAGAATGCTAGATGCTTATTTATGATTGAATATGTCATTATATATTTTTAAAAATAATAAAAGATTGTAATCAACTGACCTTATATGTCGCCAAAGGAACATCTGAACCGGGATAGGCAAAGGGTGCTCCTGAATGCCTCCATCCAAGGATCGTCGTTTATCCATGCTTGTTTTAGCTAGCACTAAAATATCACATATAAAGAAGTTGAGTAGTTTGATTTAAAGAATGCAAATAAACAGGATATGTTTTGATTAATAGTGCTGCCATCGCTGCCACGTGTCTCACCTCACAAAACACGATCCTGCCGCCTTTCACTGTCAAACTCCTACGTCGTGCGCACACCCTCGTACGGAGTCAATAGCACTCCATAAGCCAATGGATCAATTCCCAATCGGGGAATGTCGAAAACGCAAGAATCGGGAACTAAAATAAAAATGATCCTATCTTCACGCGAAAGAGATTCACATACTTTGCCCAATTTCAAAAGGAAACTCCTTTCGCGAGAAGACGAATCGTTGCACAATATTATTCAACTGCTAGATGTTCTCTGGATGCAGCCGGGCATGATGTCGTCAAAGAGTAAAGCCGCGCGAGAAAATATCACGTGTTCCACTCGACCTAGTAACACACTTCTGTCATTCCCTTCAGATGGAGGTATACGATGCACCCTGGCACCGGGATAGCGTGTGACTGAGGAGAGAGAGACGTGTTCTACGCGCCTTCGTCCTCGAGGATGGTGAATGCGCGTGCGACTCTCGGAAAATCTAATGCGCCGGTCGTTTCATCGATCAGCCCAGGAATCTGCTGCTGGACCACCCCTGCGAGAGTCGACCCACCCTGTCGCGGACGCGAGGCGCCATGCCACCGTCCTTACCAACCTATTTACTCACCTAGCCATTTTGCTCGAGTGGCACCTGATATTAACAATGGGCGAGGCCATTTTGAAGTATGATTAGCGAAGTATGTGATGCACCCTTCCTCGTTTCGAGCCAAGCTCGTAAGATGATAAATAATCGAGATACAAGTATTTATTTTTTTTATGATAAGACTTTTATGATAACACATATTCCATAGGATAAATGTTGTGATTATAATCATTTAAAATATGAATAACATATACATGAGAGAGTAAAGAAAATAAAAATTACAAAAAGATAGATATTTAAATAAAATTGATACGCGTGCAAAAGCAATACGTATTAGGGATGACATAATTAACGTTAGTCTACTTAGAAATCGTTTTTGCTCGTTATACTTTCGTTAGCATTTTTATGTGTCAAGATGCTTTTCAGCTGGCTTTTTGTTAAAAAAAGTCTCAATATCCTTCAACGTCATATCCAACTCGAACACGATTTCTCGCGTATACGTCGTTACTTTGCTTGCCTCTAAAATATTTTCAGGATTTAAAGGGCTGATTTCTATACAAACTTCCGTATTATCGTCCGTATCGATTATTCTTCTCCCTTCCTCGTTGATTGTTTTACATATATCGCGCCATAATTCTTTTTGACCAGGATGAAGAATTTCGACTAACTTTCGGAAACTATCCCAGTCCATATTTTCGCTATTCTCGAGAATTTTGCGGTAAATTGTTGAAATATTTGTTACTGTGTGCTTGTTATTACCAACGATACCTTTTAACGATCCATCCTTATAAATAATGTGCCGCGTGACTTTTCTCATAAAATTGTCTGAAAGTCTTCTTGTTTTCCCAAACTTGTCAGAAGAAGTGGAGATAGCTGTATTTTCATAAGGAATCTTAACAGAATCTTTGGAATTATTTAAATCTTGATTATATGTATTTATAAAGCTTTCTTGTCTTTTACATAAATAATTCTCATCTTCCAGTAATTCGGATAATTTGGCTGAAATACAATCATTCACGCAATTATTTGTTATCTCATTAGAATGAACGAAACTGGCATCCACGGATTTAGAATGCAATTTTTCATTGTTTAACGTGTCGGTCATTAAATATTTTTCCTGATAAGAGTCTTTAGCGGAATCGGATGATACTATTTTTTGGATTAAATGATAAATCTTTTTTCGTATTTTCGGTGATAACTGAGCAAAAATATCTGAATCATGTGCTTGTATTTTTCGCATTGATTTTTTGTCATTATTTGAACGTCTGTCATTTGCAATTTGAGCTCTGACATGTCGAGCAATATCCAGAGAAGCTCTTGACGAAACTAATTTGCGACCTCGGGAAATATCTCCATCTATGTCATTTATCTTGTATTTTCTGTCTAGAGATTCTATCCATTCGTGTATTAAATTCTCAGCGGATGACGAGCTGAAAGTCGTAGTATCACTTTCTCTTCCTTGTTCTAATAAATCTTCGAGAGAATCTTTTTCAATATAATTGTTATCCGTGTTTTTTATCTTCTCTCTTATATTAGAACATGGCAATCTATTCATGAAAAAGTCAACGTTCTTCCTGTTATCGTTCAATCTTGACATCGGTAAATAATGATTTTCATCCAAAGTTATTTCAGGCAAATGTCCCGTTTTGTCGAATAACCAGAATCCTGAATCGCGTTGAGGATAATCGTCTCGACTGCTGTACAAAATGGTACTTTGTCCATTTTTTGCGTTTTCTAGATGAGTGCAATGTTTTTCTCGCAATTTTGAAAAAAGTTCATCCTTTTGCTTATCTAATATCGTAAATTGATCACGTACCAAATATTTCATAGTATCAATAACCGAATAAATATCATCATGTTTCTCGAAGAGTCGCTGCGAACCGTGGATCTCATGCGCAGTCTTAGAACGCATATCTCCCACCAGCACATCATCGATTTGCGATTTACGTTCATACGAAATCTTTTTTACGATTTGTTCTTTGTCAATATCAGCATAGGTTTTCATCGTAGAAGACTCACATCTATTCAGATTATTGTTTCGCATAATACTATTATAATCATATTTCTTATCCCTTTTAGCTGTTTCAAAATCAGTAAATAATCTTTTAATGGTGTTATTATTAAGAGATTTATGTTTAATCTTGATATTAACGTCGGTTTCTGTATCGGAAATATTATTAACTTCATTTGGATTTCCAATACAATCTCTCATTGCTAAAGCGCGCTTTTTAATTGGCAATAATTCAGTTCCGTTTAATTGGTCTTTATATATATCTCGATAGTCTATTTTAGAGCCATCAACAGATATTCTTGATGGCGTATTCTTCTTTAAATCTGGAAGATTTATTGAAATCTTTAATTCCTTCTTATTCTGATCATAATTAATACAATCACGCTCAACAGTTGTAATCTCGGCATCTCTTGTTCTGGTTTTTGTGTTATTTTCTTTAAGCTCTTTGGTAGCAGGATACAATTCTGGAATATAACTTATTACTCCGCAACATTCGCATTTATAGAAGGAAGAATCCTTTAAGAGAAGATCCTTTAACCTTTCATCATTTCGCTGGGCTAATAAACATTGCAATATTCGCGAAATTTCATTATAGTAGTTATTAGTCAACGAAGAGACTTTAACATCAGAGTTTGTAATGAAGTCAAGAATCTTATGAACTGCTCCTAGCTCGATGCAAGGCGCTCTTGATGCATTATTTATATCTGGACATATTTGAGAACACGTATTTTCTTTACTTATTTTTTTATTTATTTGCTCGTGCAATTTTTTCTTATTTTCATATAATGCACAACTCAGTCGTTTATTTGATTGATGCGAAGGATGCGAAATATCATGATTCAGTTTCTGATAGCTAGAAGATAATGACGTAATTTTCGATTTTTTAGTGTTTCTATATCCATTCTCGATTTCTTCTTTACTTTCATTGAACGAAAGATCTTGTTTACTTTCTTGCTCGCTTATAGTACTTAAAGTTCTCGGTGAAAGTACTATTGTGTCACTTGAAAATGTAGTTTGGGGTGGAACTATTGTTACTTCCCATAAATTATCATGATCCATATTTTAGGTGATACATTCGACAAAATTCTCGATGATGCATCCTTTTTTATATTAATTTCTGAGAAAAAATTGAATTTGTTATATTAATAGAATTTTCAGGAGAATTACATTTCTTATATATTATTAAATATGTTATTATGTGAAGTTCTTTTAACAAGTGATTTAAATTACCGATTACGTTTCATACTTATTCAACACTTTTATAAAATAGACTGAACAATGATACATTATCATCGATTTATATCGCCCCTCAAATTTATATCATTAACATTCAATTATGCTATGAGAGAGATGTATCCTTATTAAAATTATATACAATTACAATATGCACATGTAGGTTATAAATAAAGTTTGATAAAATCAACATGAAATTTATCATTTAAATGTTTTCTCTTAAAAAGACATGTGAAGTCGATTACTCGAATATCTTGAAGTTCACTATTGCCTCCTTTCCGATGCTGATTGCTGATTGGCTGTTGTGTTTGTAGCAGTGACGGTGGCTGTGGTGAATGATGTATAATTAATAATAGAGATATAATATTAATAACGGAGAGAGAAAAAAAGAGAGAGAAAGAAAGAAAATAGATTATAATATATTTATTTTTTCAGAAAAATAACAGTTACAAAAATAATGTTATTATTTATACAATAAATAAGGTATGATCTCGGAGAAAATATAAAAACTATCTACATATTGCAAGTATTACAATTGTATATAATTGATATCTACGCTCATGGAAATGTAAAAAAAGTGACTATCTAGAGTTCCGTCAAAGATTTCGCGTGGAAGAGGTTTCCTTTGTGAGAATGCCTCAGATCATGGCAGAAACGTTTGCGAGAGGGCTGCTAGATAAGATAATGGTAGACGTTCTGGACGTTATAGATCGCGATGCAGAGGACGGTAAGGTGAAAGCATTTGTATGTCTGTTGATGAAATGGCGTGTTGAATAGCGACATTGTTATCATCTGTATATAGATGTTCGATAAACGTCATTCTATGATGCTGTTTTAGAGTAACACAGTTTTCCAAATACTCATATATCTCGTAAAGATAATTGCAAATGAATATGTATAATTATTCGTAATAGAGATACAAATAATATACTCTTAAATAAATGTCACTAGGAAAATCCTGGGAGCAGCACGTTGATGAGGAAATAAACGATGCCCAATCGGAATTTGTACACAGATCGCAAGCATTCGAACATACACACGTAAATTATAGTAAGGCTGAAGAAATAGAATTGATCGCCAAGATAGTCCGCGATTTGCGCGATATACAAATCGGAGATTCGCGTTACGTGCTACCACCTTCACTGTTGGCATTGGAGAAACAGGTAATTGGATTAGCTACACATAAGGAAATCACGTCTCGAAATGTTATTCAGTCATAATCAGTCATGGTGATTATAGCCATTTAATTTTTACTCACGTTAATATTGCATAGATATATAAAAAAGTATCAAAATTATTTATAAGTCAAGCGGTCCAAAATGATAGAAATGTTTCTTACATTGCTTATTAAAGTTCTTTATTTATTTTATTGTATTAATTTTTGCAAAATTTATAATCAAATCAAATTATAGCAATTATCAAAATTCATTAAAAAGATATTGGAATATTATTAAGAGGTATTATATATTTATATCGCTGCAGTTTTCAAAAGGAAATTTAATACAATCAGTTTTATATTTTGCATTTATTTCATCTGAAATGGTTCTAAGTGAATATTCGCACTTGTAGAACTCATGCGAAAGATCTTGCATGTACAATCATGGTTTACTCTAGTGCCGTTTCTGCACTGCATTAATTCCACGCGCGTGTAATTATTCTCTGCACGTGTCACGATAAGAAAGTTTACTCACGAGACACGCATCTATTCTTGCTTGTACAGATGAAATGCGGCGCGTGCAACGTCGACGGTGTGTCGCTCACGAACGCGACAGCTGACGTCGCCGAAACTCGGCATACAATTCAAGGTCAAGGTGATACGCATCAGATTATACACGCGATTCTTGAGCCACCGATTGAGCCGGCGGAATTGACAAAAGCGATCCGGAAGGAGGAGGAAACGGTTAATGAAGCGGCCACCGTAACCATCGGTTTGTTACATCAGCTGATCGAAGAGTTGGAGAACAAAACAGTTTTAGTTTGCTCCAAAAATGACACTTCGATTAATAAAGAACGCATCGCCAATTGGGAAGAGAAGGAGGAGCAATTCATTAGAACCATCGAGGACAATGTTGACAATAAACAAAAAATTACGATGGAGACTCTTCCAGGGAGTGAATCGGTTGGTCGTTTTCGCGTCATCGAGCTGAAACACAAAGATCATGAAGAACTAAGATCTCACTCGAGTCAGCATGTAGCATCTATCTCAAGAGATATTGATCTCGATGAAATTCAGCTTGAGAAATGCGGATCTAACTCGATGTCGTCATTAAAGCCGTCACACGACGACACCGCCATGGAGCAGATTCTAGCTATCGAAGACGTGGAGAAGAGAAAGACATTTGGTGAATCGACTAAGAAGAAGAAGAGGAAAGGTTTAGGCAGCAGATTGAGAAAACTCTTCCGCGCCGTTTTCGGTCGTCAGAAGAATTGATGCAGATGTCCGGAAGGAATGTTACTTCGTGATCTACGTTAAATACACGACGACGATTTCCTTTCGTAGAACGGCCTTTTAAATGCGTGCTTCTGACAGGGAATCATATTGTTCGTTCATGAATCTAACGAATAAAAATAACTTTATAGTCACCAATTAATCTTCACTTTGATATCCATTACAACTTAAATGCGACGCATGAATCTGAAGATTCTGCACATTCCTAGATGTTAACCGCCCAAACATTATACGAACGCATAAAATTCTGTAAAATATAATCTAAAATAAAACATAAAATAATGAAACTTAAATACAAAATATAACATCCAATAATTTTATATTGTATATCACATTCTTGCGGTAACTTAAATGATTTAGCGGAGAACGAGAGGGAACACGATAACGCTGCCTAGAACCTGATGTGGCATCTAAGGCTGAGTGTATTTTCGCCTGACGTGTTCACCGGACGCTGCAAATCTGGCAACCCTGATATAAGAACGTCGTCGTCGATGTTGAAACCCCATTTATCGCACCAGGAAGAGGTACTAGCTTCTCGTCGCTTCTCAAACTGTTTTTGGACCGCAGCGTTGCCAGATCCCGCGTCAATCCGGTCCAAAACTCTTCTCTGAGACCTGGATCTCGTGATTATAGTGTGTCTTCTAATCATAGCGCCATCTGCAGAAATAAAATAAGTAAATTTAGTAAGACCCACTTCCACCTTCCACTCCTGGTTCAAACTTCGTCCGGTCAACATCCACTAGCACCAGACAATCGACAATGGTAAGTATCAATAAGTTCGCAGCTTTTCCTATTTGAAAAAAATCTCCTTGACAGCTTCTTCGTGATTCCATATTTTGTATTTTTTCAATAACTCTAACAGTTCTTTCAAATTATCTCTTGTTATTTACTTTCAATTTTTTAATAATAATGAATTTAATAACCTTTTAATTTAAATTTAATAAACTGTAATTAAATTCATATTACAAATTAAAAATAAATATTAAATTATTATACTATAAAATATTTCAATGTATTAAAAATAATTCTCTTTTATTTCAGGCAGATCTCAGCGGCAGGGATGTCGAAAGTGAGTAAAGTGACCTCCAAATATTATCTTCTTTTCTCTAATTTCATCGGGATTAATTAACAAAAATAAATTTATCTATTTATACCATAATCGATGGAAATACAAGTGACTTCTTAATTAAAAAATTTTCATAATTTTATAATTTTTATGCGTGATGTTACCTAAAAAAATGATAGAGATCAAACAAAAAATCTAAAACTTCTATTGCTTAAAATTTGTGTCAAAATATCATCTTTAATCTCGTTAATAAAATGATAAAGTTTTGTTAAAGACACAATTTAAGTAGTTTCATAAAATACAATTAATAACATATACTAAATATACATTATGTGGGCTTTAAATAGTGCACATTTTAAAAAGATCAGTTCGTGAATAAAATTATTTTTAATAAGTATTATTATTAATTTTTTATTTTTTTATTCAAATTATTTAATAAGATATTCAGGGAATAAAAAAAATAGTATTGACTACAAAATTATTTTTCTTCATTCTTTGACAACACCGAAGAATTTTAATATTTTACAAGAAATTATTATTAGCAATTTATAAAGAGAATTATGCTATCTAGCTTCTATTTCAAGATGTTGAAAAGAGGATTTAAAATTTTTTCACATTCAAAATTATTGCATTTTTCATATTCATTTTTTTTTTACATTGGAGCATGTATTCTAATTAATCAAATTAAAATAATAGAGAATTTGTTCACTATATTCTATTTTCAATTCACATGTCATTTTTGAAATTACGTAACGGCTCATCGGGTAGGAGGACGCAATCATTCCGTAGCGCGTCAAAAATAGGTTGGTAGGCTGCTCTTATATGGTTCGGCGGGGGTAATTTGACCCACTGCTTCCACCAGCGAATTCTTCAATTGTCGAATTGGTGGGGATTGCCGTCTGTCTCTCAAAATAGAATAATATTTTTGAACTAGGTACGCACGCGGTGCACTCCATGTCAGTTGGTATTAACCCAGATTTCGCGTTTTGCATATTTAAATAATAGATCAAATATTGATTGTAGCAAGAAATATCATACAGATGTTTTACGATCATGATCTTGTTGTCGTTATGTCTTATCAACGAACCCATTACCAAAGATTTGCTATATTTAGAAAATATGTAAAAAATTAATCTCTGTCTAAAAGGGGCAGAATTCGCCTTCTCCATTTATGACGACGATGGCAGCAACGTCATCGACGCAGTTAACCTTGGCAACGTCCTTCGCGCATTGAACTTGAACCCCACGAATGCAACCATCGAGAAACTGGGCGGCACGAAGAAGAAGGGCGAGAAGAAATTGAAACTAGATGAATTCCTGCCCATCTTTAGCCAGTGCAAAAAAGACAAAGATCAGGGTTGCTACGAAGACTTCCTTGAGTGTTTGAAACTGTACGACAAACAGGAAAACGGAACAATGCTCGGCGCGGAATTGTCTCATACACTTTTGTCGCTTGGTATGTGAGAAATTCACTCTCTTCATAGACTATTTAAAATTCAAGAAAAGAAAGACAGTTACAATTATAATTGGTTATATTATAACAAATCTTTTATTTTTATACATATAAAACCTAAATCTTATACCTACATTTCATATAAAACCCTATAATAAAGATTTTTGGAAATAGGTAAATTATTCAAGCACATTTCAAGCAGTATACACATAAATATACACACATCTTTTAAGATAAAATAGTCTGTGTTTTATTGTATATTAAAAATAAGAAATGAGAAGGCAAATTTAATCTAAATTATCGCAGGTGAGCGTCTCAGTGATACAGAATGCGATGAAGTATTAAAGGACTGCATGGATACTGAGGACGACGACGGTTTCATCCCTTATGCCCGTAAGTATCACAGATTATTCTAAGTCGGAAATGCATCCCTTAAAACAACGGAGATTGTTAAACCACCTGCATCCGTGAGTTATATTAAGACAACACGCTAGTTTGACGAAAAAATATTGAAACTCCCCTATCTATTTTGTAAGATCCCTAAGTCCGATTTGTTATTAGAATTAGAAACCACCCCCGTATATAAAAAGTACAGTTGAAAAACCTTTCGATTCGTGATATGACCCTCCCTGAAATAACTTTCGACAATGTGTAGAGATGCCCTCGGAGATTCGACTTCTTCCCTCCCTATCATTTGACTCTTCCACGTTTTTGTGTTTCACAGCCTTCTTGAAGAAGATGATGGTACCGTTGTAAATGGTGAAGGTGTTATCGAGACAAAAATTATCCATCGTGAGTACATCCTGTAGAAATCCATATTTATCAGTTAGCTTCTTGTTCGTCCATTTCTCTCTGTTTTTTTGTCTCTCTCTGTCCATGTCTATTAACATTATTCCGTTCGCCTTTTCTCGTTTAACACATTCCAGAATTTATAGGACGCAACGTTGCAGCTCAACAGGGATGCTGAAATCGATAACCCGCTTTTCGCGCGGAAGGCTTGCTCGCGCATGGGGTCGATCACCTGACGAGATCATTGAAGCAAAAATTACATAGAATAAAATGAATCGAGATATTCCTATAAAAAAATAGAAAGTAATATATAATATATTGACAATAAAATTTTATATTGAATTTTTAAATAAGATTTTCAACTTTTTATTCATTTGAATTTCGTTATTCTCAATCATCTTTACAAAAATATAATTATCTATAAATTATTATCATTGTTTTTTATATACTTTTATACATATACTTTTACATATATATACTTTTATGTTACAAAAATAACGTTTAATCTTTTTCTTGAATTTTTTTACCCTAAATATTGTCTGCAAATTATTAATGCTTATTATTATCTACGTGTCTATCGCTTCTACGTCTATCGCTTTGCTATTGAAAAAAATGGCAGTACAAAGTAAGCATTGACTGCCGACTAAATATTGTGCGCATTTACGGTTTCGCAGACTAATTTTCGATCTTTACTTTTAAATGTATGTTCGTCTCTATGAAAAATATGCTTAATTATGTGTCGAAATATATGTGATTTTGATCTGCGCAAAGATATGCTCTAACTCAATTCTGTTTTATTCGCAGCGTTTCTTCGTAAACTATGTGAGAGGGCGGCGGCAGACAATGAGTAATAGGATGACCGCCATCAACATTTATCCACATCAATGAAGGACTCACTTGCATAATATTCGTTCGTCGCATTTGCCACACCATTCATCTCCCATCCCATGATTATACATCGCACGATAACGCGAAGATCCCAATTTGACAATTTACACGTAAAGCAATATATGATCCTGAAATTAGCATCGTCGAGATAGACATTTTATTAAAAGGGAAACAAAACAAAGCAGGAAAAATCCACGTAAACATGAAGTACAACGAAAACAATATTTCATCTCGAATGCATGCAGCATCGTTTTATTCGATTTGATTTCATACATTTTTTTGCGATACAAACGTTTATTTAAATTCACAGTCAGCAAAATATCTTAATATGGCAACATTATGTACAAAGTCGAATAAAACGGTCAATGTTAATTTACTTCTTACTAGTGCTATAATAAATTTTTCCTCTCCAACTGTCAAAGAGGATTAAAAATCGCCCATTGTGCATTATTATTTCGAAACAAATATCCTATTTACAATATCTATTCTTTGAAATATTATATATACCATCTCTTTTTTAATATAATATTTATATATTTTAAAAATTTGCACATATTGTAAGATCTAAAATATTTATTATAAGATTATAAAATGAAAAGTCTTCAGGTTAACATAAAAAGATTTTTAATAATATTGCTGTTACATGTAACTATTTTTGTCTGACATTTTCTTAATCTACATAAGCGATCGCGTGGGAAACATAGACGATAAAATATGTCACTATCGAAATCTATTTAAAAATTACAATAGGATATTGAATCACGTTTCTTCTATATTGTACATACGGTGTATAATAATCCTTTTTACAGATTTTTTAATCATATACAACATTATTCTTCAATATAATTGATATGATGAAATTTATATTATATAAAATTGATATTATATTGATATTATATAGAATCTTACTCTATCAAAATTATTTTTAAAATAATTATAAATTATATTGCTCTAGATATATAATTTAAATATTTAAATATCCTCTTAAGCTTTACGAGATAAAATTGAAATTGATAAAATGATTTCCACGCAAAACTATGAGTTTTACATAACTTGGATAACAAATTTACATAAAAAATCGGAAAAATAATTTTATACATATATGATAATTCACAGATTATATAAAGTGTTGAGTTCAAGACACAATCTATACCGATTAAAAATCTAAAACTAAAAAAAGCCGCTGATCCAGCCTCTCGTGGCGCACGCAACTCTCAGCATCTCGAATGAACGTCAGAGCCGTTCGATCGATAAATCGCACGCTGCCGCCAAGCGCGGATTTCAATCGCGCACGATCTCTCTCGTCATCTTCGTCACCTATCTGATGATACAGCGCGTTTGTCGTGGGTGGACGGATACGACGCGTTGCTTCGTACGCGCTCGGCAGACTTCGCTTACAGGGACAGAGCCAGGCGTGGGGCCTCCGTACGGTCCCGGCGAGCCGGTGGCGGTGGCGGTCGGATCAGTCGGTTCAAACGCGTCGTAAGCGCCGCGTGCGTTTCGAGCCTCTCGCAGCGTGATACATCGTTGTCGCACAACTCGTTCCTCGCGTATTTCTTTTATCACGTACGCGTGTACATCGAACGGACTGGTTACGTTCGCCGACGTAACGCGCGGACGCGCGACGCGGGCTTACACGCGGCAAAGTGCGGCGAAAAAAAAGATAAAAGGAGACAAGTCCCTCCGACAAGTGTGAGACACTCTAACGACCACCGCCTAGATCGTCGAGGATGACGGATGTCCAGGTGAACCCGGGCGGCAGGCTGCAACATAATGACGCGCAGCAAACAGGTTGGTATCCCCCAGACTCTCCTCCGTGTCACTTTCGCGCGGCGACGCGATTTATTTTCACGATCGACAACCTTGAGGTCATAGTGGTCCACGGACGCCGCTGATCGGGGCAGTGCGCGCGCGTTCCGCCATTTTGACCCGCGTAGAGATGAGATTTAATCTCGCGAAAAAATTGCGCATTGTGTCGCACGCAGTTGATGTTCTCACGCGATTATTATAAAATGAGGTGCGCATCGACGGAACAAGACGCTCTCCTAGTTCATCAAGCTATCCATCTGGGCGGGATCATGAAAAACGCACGGATATTTCGATATCAAGGAGATTCAATCATTAATAATGATTTCATGTCACCTTTTCTTTCGGAGTTTACATACATTGAAACATAATTAAACGTTGTTTTATTAAATTTTATTCTTGGTAAAAGCTAAAGTTATTGGAAAAAGAAATTCATATAATCTATTACTACCGAATTCTTTTTTCATTTTTTAGAAATATTTGTAAATAGGAAGAACAGGTTTTTCTCATATACAATAGTAATTGCCTTACGCTATTTGCAACAGAAATTAAACTGAATCTTTTAGAAAATAGCTGACATATATCAAACATTTTCTGTTTATTTGCTGAGAACTTCTTGCGTTTACTTTTATATCAGTTGAGATTATAGGCTATAATTACTTGGATTTTTTTGCACTGCAATATGCATACACATCACAATGAACTGCGTTTATAAGATTACATCAGTATAATCTGCGAATTTATGTCACGGACAGAACTTGCAATTCAAAGTGACGTACACATTCTAATTTTTCTGATTTTTAAAACCAAAATCTCGCGGATATAAAATATTTATTTTACTTACATTATTTTATTATTGCATATATTATTGCATAATACAATTTTTATTTTTATATAAAAAATAAAAAATACTGCGATACAATGATAAATTCATTCTATGAAGAAAAATATGTTTCACGTTGCTGTTCACTTTGTTACATTAAAAACGATGTATGCTGAAATTGAATTCTGTGACTTACCAAATGGCAACAAGCACTTCCATTCATCGTTGACAAACAGACGTGCAGCGTCTGGCGAAAATGATGTATATCAATGAATGAGAGGTATTTTTGTAAACAGCAATACACGCGCGTGCATATAAAAAGCATACAAAATCAGCTGCAAGAAATTTACATCTATTAATTTATAAACAGAAATTCGTAATAATATTATATATATTGAAATTTAGCTGATTTTATTGTAAAGAGAATAAAAAAGAGAAAATAAATTTTTATTGATAAGTAATAAGATGAAATATATAATAGAGATATAAGCTTGCTGTACACTTAACATTTTATTTGAGAATCACATATATATCACATATATATTATGTATAATATATAAATACATAAACAACATTAAATACTTTTTCAATTGTGCTTACGTCAAAATTAAATTATATTGAATTATATCGAATTAATTGCAATAAAGATTATTAAATTATATTAATTATATAAATTATATAAAAATAAATTATATATTTATATCAATAATATAAATTCTATTAATTATATTAATTATATTCAATTAATGGAATTATAACATGATTGAAAAAGAAGAAGCTATTGTGTTTACGAATCACATGTAAAATGTATAATATTACGAAATATATTATGGAATATCTGCACGCTTGTCGGCATTAATTATAGAGAGATCCGAATGGATCTATATGAGAACCAACATGAAGTATCGTTACGACGTTTGCATAGATTCATGAGAACGATTGTATGATGGCCTCAATGGCGAGGGCATTATACTTGGAACGATGAGAAAATCTAGAGTTATATGAGATTGGAAATCTTCTATTAACCGCTATTGTTAATCGTGCTTTCCATTATATGATTATACACAATTAATGCCTTCTATGTGTCGACGCAATCAAATACGCAATATGAAAATCATCGCATGTACAACCGCAAGAGAAAGTGTATATTCGGTTTCGTTTATTACCGTCGACGTAGAAAAGTTTGACAGCAGCCTCGTTTGTATCTATTGCCGTACCTGGCACCGGTGTACCCGACGAACTTTTCTCCGCTATTATCTAAAACGTCGCGGCTGACATTTGTACCGTTTTCAGTACTAGCGATCGTTAAAGGTGAAAAAGAACTGCTCCAAAAATTTAATCATTACACGCATCACTCGCAATATTTTAAAATTTAAATGCTCTTTACACATCAAGGAAGTAACTAGGCCTCGCGATGGTCAAGCGGTCTAATGATGCTCGTTTCCGCAATTTACTAAATAAATCAGAACCAACCTACGTTAAATAGGCCCTCAAGGTCTTAACGATGAGTAACGATCACGTGAGTTCTTTCCGTACGTCGCCCGCGAATCTTTATTCGAGGATGCCGGTATCTTTTATCGCGACGCAAACATTATAATACTTACGTGTAAAAAACTTGTAACGTATCGTCGAATTTCAGCACGGAAAACGAGCATCTTTCTTCCTTCCTTCGCGACAAACGGAGCAGAAGAAACGGCGCATGAGAAAAACTTTATCGGTTAATTAAAAAATTAATGAGCGGCAATGAGTTAACGATGTCTCGTGGGTGTGTAACTGTCGGAATTGCCAAGACTCGTCTCCGATGACGGTTACGGGGCTCTTAATTTAATGACCGTCATGGCATTCTCAAAAGGAACGATGCTTCAGACAGGCCAGGCATCCGCTATTTGTTCGCCACTTCCGGATATGGTCAGATTCAGAGGGGATTTCGCAGTTGTTCCAATTACAACGCAGATGAAACCCAAGGGCGTTTTATTAAACCGGCACATTTCAGGTTTTCCAAAATAGAGCATCTACATTTATTTTCCCGAGAAATATTACGCTATCTATAAAAAAATAGAATATACACATCATGTTTTATTATGTATATAAACTTAATATGTATTTAAATTATTTTATTAAGAATATCTCAATCGTTATATGATTAAAAAAATTAATTTAGAGGATTAAATCATAATAATATTATAAAGAAATAATCTTTATTGCAATCTTAATTTGCGCGACAAGCGCCAATCTAATGATGATATCAATACTTCGTATTGCTTATTCGGTTTCTTTGTCACTAATCGTTACACTTGGAAATTAATGGCTCGTAACCAGGCGACACGAATGCGTGGAGTTAACGCGCGAGTACTTAGCGCAGTTACGTGAATACTTAACATTAGGTGAGACCAAAGTTCCACTCGTTATCCATGTCACGTTTTGGGTCCTAATATTAATCATTATAACATGAAATACGTCATATATTTATGTGGACTCTAAGGCGCTTTATATTCTCTTTTTTGAGATAAAAGACTCTATAATTTTCATTCAATCAAGTCCAATCATATCAAATCATATATAAGATTTTATTATTTAATTTGAATGCTTTCCTAAAACAGTTGAATCATTTGCTTTGCTCAGCAAACTGTCAAAGTGCGGAAATAGAGTACCTGTTGCAAAAATACGATGAAATCTGACCATGATTCAACATCAGTTAATTTCACACGAACTCTGATAACATTCTATAATGCCCGATGGGAGCGCAATGCATGCGAGGGTAATCTTCGATGCACGCGTTTCGAGCACGCTATTACAATTATCCTATACA